AAAAAATTTTCACTAGTTGGAAATTATATTTGTCGATTTGTGTGTGGTGTCGTCTATTATTAATAATAATAAACCAACAGCTGTTGTACTATGTTGAAAGTGGGCGAGCACGTGGGAAATAGGCATAAGAGGAGGAGACAGGTGCGCGCAGAGCTTAAACGGGCTGGAATAATATTGTGTATTGTTAAAAAATCGCTTTGAAGAGAGACGGAAAAAACAGAAAAATCTCAAAGGGCTATCCGACCCGGTTTTTTTTTATTTTTTTTATTTTGTACATACGGTTTTGTCTCGGAGCAAGGAAACGCAATAGCATATTACATATATAACAACGATAATAATAACGTTGTGCTTATAATGAAAAAACCCAAAAAGTTTCACAACAATAAAATTCTGCAGCGGTCGCGTTCCGGTCAAGTGCTTAAGATACAAAAGTACAACACAAGAATACGGCAAGGGGGTGGCCTTCAAATACAGGGTGATCATCAGATGTAAGACACACACTCGGTTGCTGAGAAAATGTGTTTTCCTGTACTGAAAACACAACGTCCGTTCATCTTTCCCGTATAGGCGATGAATAGGTAAGTAACTTTCCAAGTATCAAAAAACATTGTGAAATATGTACCTAAAATTTGTTAATCAACACACACACAATCTGATTTCTCAAGAAATGCACCGCTCGTTAGGATGATTGCAAATGAGTGGACTTAAATTGAGTACAAAGTTTTTTACCTGCTCCACTTCTGATCTAAATGATGTAATTAATGTGTTTATGTTATTGCTTTATCTATCATTATCTTGACGTCTGTATTTTAGAACAGATTCGTGGAAATTCATAGTTTCTTTATGTTATATACTTAATTTTATATAACTGTTTAATCGTACCTAGTGTTTTTGGTGTTTTCAATATTAGGTTTTCTTTTTATATTCATCCGTTATCAATTGTATATATTATAGTATATAATTGATAGTATCCATTGAAGGCAAGTCCTGGCCTTTTTGTATGCTCCAGTCTACCTACTACACTACGGTCGTTAAGATCACAGCGTTTTATTTTAATTATTTTTCCAGACCTCTTTTCTACCAACGGTGGTTTTTTATTCGTCTTGCAAAAAAAAAAATATATATAAAAACCACCCCGTCCTATTGTTTGTACGGACCGCCGCAATCGAGATTTGCCCCCCCCCCCCCAAAAAAAGACAAAAGAAAAAGTACACCGACTCTTTTGTACGGTAGTCGCGCCACCAGTGGAAACCTTTGGCACGATAACTTTGCCTGGATTTGTTACACATAAAACATAACAACATGCAACATGTGAAACAAAATATTATAATTTGAAATCAATCAATTCTTCTTCGCACGCTATTAATTAAATGGGTTTTACTGCCATGACTAATTTCCATATGAATTTATTTACTCATTCCCCTTGCCCTTAGATCAGCCTCGAGATATTATTATATTTTGGCAACAACAACGATTTACCAATTTCTTCGAGTGGAAACGGTTTTAACTGGAGGCCGATATCGGTTGGTCTATCATTATAAAATAGAGCCGATCGTTATTTTCTCGGTTGCGATACGTGCGATTGTAATTAAGACGTTTTAACATGATGAAAAAACCCGGGGACAGCTGGTCCAATGATTCATCCTGTGTGTCGTGGCAATAAATAATATTATATTTTTTTCGAATAATTATACATACAATATACTTTCAAACTACATTTTAGTTGCGCTCTCGAGTTGGCCGCGCGAACAGGTGTTGCAAAACAAAAACAATATTTAATTAAAAATACGTTAAATTAACCTATTTATATTTGAAAACATATAAAATAATATTGACTATCTATAATATCTATCCTTACTGCGGCACCGTCAACAGCCTTTACTGCAATCACAACTCTTCTCCGTCTAATGTGCCCCAATCTCGAGCACAAGACTTCCTATACAGGGTGATTGATTAAGGATAAGACACTAATTTTCTCGAAATATATTAATATTTTGAACAATATTTTTTTCCAAGATTTTTTGTTACACATTGTACTATATTTTTCAATATTTTGACAATTTTTATCACCAATCCTTGAAGGGTTCAATATTTTGAAGCCAAAAAGGGGGATTTTAGTTTTTTTTTAATGGCAACATATGTTTTTAACTACATAAATTTGTAGACAAAAAATAAAAAAATATTTTAGCGTTTGAATTTTGAATTTTCATTTATTTGTTCATTTGTTATGACTTTGTAAAGATAGTACATTTTCTCTTAATAATTATCATGTTTCTTCGGATTTCCAAAACCGGTAGCACATCAAGTTCATATTTATGTTCGCATTGTCCATTTGGCGATAACACTCTAACAAAAATAAGTCACTGGTATAAAAAGACTTTGAAATAATGATAGACAAACGGTTCTTATCTACAGATTACCACCTATTCCAACACAGGTACACAGGTTGGTTTTACAAACCCACTTTATCGAATTATTTTTATGCGTGTAATTAAACTACTCGTCTTTGTAGTAACGATTGAAAATATTAAGAAATACAGTCAAAAAATCAAATCTTAAAGTCATAACAAATGAACAAATAAATGAAAATTCAAACGCTAAAATATTTTTTTATTTTTTGTCTACAAATGTATGTAATTAAAAACACATATGTTGCCATTAAAAAAAAACTAAAATCCCCCTTTTTGGCCTTCGAGGATTGGTGATAAAAATTTTCAAAAATATTGAAAAATATAGTACAACGTGTACCGAAAAATACACATCACAGATTACCATATATTATATACAGTCGAACCGCACGACCAATGTAATAGTGTGTATTTTTCAGACTTGCCCGTTCAGTGAAATAATAAAAAATGAAACGGCAGCCGAGACGATAAACCGAAACCGGACGTACAGGGTGTCCCAAAAAGAATTGGACCTGCCCCGTGTACTTTGATAGTAATTCATTTTGTTCAGGATGACTTTAGGTTCGTCCAAAAAAAAAAAAAAAATTGCGTACACATACAGCGCATAATGTTTTATGCGTTTGGAATAAATGTTTGTAAACCTATCTCTTGGAATAGCAGCGCAACGCTTAGGGCAATCAATTATCAAATCGATCCGTCTTTGACGACGGTGTTGGGGCGCCAACCCAAAGTCAAAACGGAATTCGCGAAAAACTGTCTTGAGAATTTGTTCGTCTAAGACAAAATTGCTAAATTCATTCGACCGACCGGTTTGCGATTTGTATTTCAAATCACGTTCAAGTATAACAGTGAACCCCCCCAGCAGCCGTGCCCAAAGCGGAATTCCCAATACAACACAGACGGGAGGGTGGGGGGGGGGCGCCGACAAGCTTAAGGAATGTAAAAAACGAGCAAACATTTTGATATATATTATTATTATTATTGTAATAACGCCGAATTTGGATTTATATATTGTTTTATCGACGGTGTGTCGTGCGCATTGTTAAAATACATATGCACAATCTGGAACAAGGTTAAACTGTAATTAATAGAACGCTTTCAATGTAGTGCGGCAAACCTCGATTCGTATTCTGTTGGTATTTTTTTTTTTTTTGGAATGTCTGCAAAGTGTCTGTATAACACTAACACTGACATTAGTTTTCTTTATTTAGCCATAATGTCTCATTTTTAAGTCGACTGCGACCTGTGCGTTTTAAATAATTTTCAATATTTCCACTATACATCTGTTTTGATCAATCTCGGTTAATGTTTGATGGTAAAACCGATATAACCGACTAACCGCCGCCAAGTGCAATAATAACAATGGCCAATCAGTCGGATTGTTATCATTTTTTTATTCTCCGCGAATATTAATGATGTTGCTGTATAATTTATGATAGGCACGACAAAATGTGTCACACCGTCTTCGTGGAATCATTTATTTTTTTTTTTATCGACAACACAACACGGTAATAGAAATACATTGTAAAAATTGTGTGTTTTTTCCAGACACAATCATTTTCTATAATGGCTTTTGAATTTATGTGTGTGTGTGTGTTCAATAGGGTTTTCTAAAAGGCAACGACCTAGCTAAATTGCATTTGAATTGCAGAAAGAAATGAGCTTTTTTTTTTTTTTTACCTCAACTCCTCTTATATAGCGTGTGTGGACTTTGCTCTTCAGACGAAAATCACCGTTCTATTTTTCTTTGTTTAATTTTTTCCTCCCAGCAAAAAGTCTTGTAACCGTAAATGAAATACATGCCTCCGGGGAACAAACGGTTGAGTGTGTACTACGGTTTTGAATGTTTTCTTTTGAAAAACGTTTACTTAGTAACCCTAATTGTTTTGAACAATACAGTATAAGTCGGCAGCAAACCCGCCAACTATATTAAAAGAACACTTGTAAAGAAATAACTGTCCCTGCCCTAAGAAATACATACCGGGAACGACAAACTGCGTTATATCTCATTTTTTATACACGTTTTAGACCACGCAGTGGAAACACAAGAAGAAAAGAGGGAAAAAATGACAGATTTTGTTTTTTACCATCCGACGGCGAGCAATCTATCTTTGTACGCCCTTTGACCGTCTCACACGACGAACCCGATCCATCGGTCGATTTATCTTAAACGTGTATGAGTGTTTTTTTTTTTTTCGGTGAGAGATTTATCATACACCGCACACATATTGTTTAACATTAAGAGCGCGCGGTGCGTGTATTGCGCTTCCTTGTGTTGTTATTGTGTACCGTGTACACGGTTTGCATCCCGAGGGGGGGGGGGGGGGGGATCCGCATAAACTTTTGTTGTCCGTAACATAACGTGGCCGTTTTAAAATTCTCATCCCGAGAACAACCCCATAAAGAGCACTACGTGACGGCGCAGAGTTTTCAAAAGTATAACCGACAACAATATCCGACCGGATTTCAAAAGGGGACACGCGTTATTTTTTGATTTTTTTTTTTTTTTTCGCAGCGTATACAACTGCCATTAAGCCGACACGGCGAACGAAAAACTCACAACTATTGTACAGCTCCCACTAGACTACTCACCCCTAGTGATGCTGCTGATGAGCGTCAAAGGAACACACAAGACGTTGACCAGCAGATCTGCCACTGCCAGGTTGACGATGAATATGTTGGTGGGCGACGACCGCATCCTGACGTTCTTGTAGACCACCAGCACCACGGACATGTTGCCCGCGAAACCCAGCACAAACACCACGGTGTACGCAAAGCACATGGCCACGGTGAACGCCACCGAATACTTCATCTGTTCTTGGGACCAGCTGTCCACGTGCGCGTTCCAGAACCCAGTGGAATTGTCCCTGTGCACAACATTGCATTATGTTTAAACGAAAAATTATAAATAACATACAGGCCAAATAGGGGGGGGGGGGTTTAGTTTTCATTTTAAATGGCAACATATGTTTTTAATTACATGCATTTGTAGACAAAAAAAAAATAAAAATATTTTAGCGTTTGAATTTTCATTTATTTGTTCATTAGCTATGACTTTGTTAAGATACAACATTTTCCTCTTAATAAGTTATCATGTTCTCGTGTCTGGGATAACACTCTTACAAAAAAAAAAAGTCACTGGTATAAAAGACTTTGGAATAATGATAGACAAACGGTTCCCATCTACAGATTACCACCTATTCCAACACAGGTACACAGGTTGGTTTTACAAACCCACTATATCGAATTATTTTTATGCGTGTAATAAATAAAACTACTCGTCTTTGTAGTAACGATTGAAAGTATTAAGAAATACAGTCAAAAAATCAAATCTTAACAAAGTCATAACAAATGAACAAATGAGTGTCTTATCCTTAATGAATCACCCTGTATACGTCCAAATCAAACTGCGGCCATAATAACCATATTATGTCCTGGTGGTAGGCTGGTGGTAAACGACACAATATTGCTCTAGCTAAAAATTCAGTTGGCCCCAATTGTACAATTTAAGTTACACCAACTAGAAACGTATTGCGACACTTGTATTATTGTGTTAACCATAATTTTAGTTGTCCCAAAACTATGTCTGAACAACAGCTTTTGGCCAACGCACAAAGGGCTTGTGGTGGTGATAATATTATTATATAGTGCCTCGCACGGATAATTTTTTGAACCGACACGGCTCCCTCGGGACCTGCGGTGGTCCGTGTGCGTTATCTGTTTTATTTTCGCCTCCCCCGCATTGGTGCCCTATTTATCTCGGTTCGGCTGCTTTTCTGTGTACACACAAAGTCTTAAGGGCCCCGAGCAAACGTTTAATGGATCACCCGGGTCCGCATAGGTATAATTAAACGTACAAAAGTAGGACGGCCGTCGAATAAATCACAGACCGAGAGCGTCTTGGAAACAGCCAAGTGGTTGTTTATTCGGTTTCAATATAATATATTACAAAATGGGGGGGGGGGGGTAGGGAGGTTATTGGTATTGGCCGAGTAAACGGCTGGTGTTGGGTTTTGGTTGCAAAAAAAAAAAACTGTACCGTTTTCGCCAAAAAAAAAAACGCACGCACTGTGATGCATCATAATAATATTATGCAGTTATTGTCATCGCGTTGCATAATAATATGTTAAATGCATTTTGTTATATACAGGGTGTCCCGTTTTAAAATACTAATCGATTTTTCTCCAAAAATACTAATCCGATCAAAAAAAAGGTTGTTTATTAGACACTTTTAGAGTACAAAGGGGGACGTTAAAAAAAAAAAAAAAAAACATGGTCAAAAATTAAAAATGGCCGACTTACGGTCAAAAACATGTTTTTTTTTTTAAACGGAAACCGTGTATTTTTTGTTTACCAAACAAATGTTCTTATCATATCGGTAAAACCCATATTTTAAACGGTAAAACCATAATTTGTAAATTAAGTTTCTAGCTATTTTTAGTTATGTTATTTTATTTTGATGCATATCGTAACCGTGTCATGTGTGGTAACCATGGTATGTGTGGTAACCGTGGTATGTGATGTAACCTTGGTTTGTGTGGTATGTTTATCATTATTCATTACCTAACCTAACCTTACCATTACATTATCATTATCTTTATTGTTAACGTTATCCTCTTTTCTGTGTATCACGAAGACAAAAACCATAGTTACCACACATACCGAGGTTACCATAAATATCAAAATAAAATGACAAAACCAAAAATAGCTAAAGAGACTAAATTTACAAACTATGGGTTTTTTCATTTAAATTATGGGTTTTACCGAAAATTTTTTCCCACAAAAGTTGTTAGTTTTTATAAGAACACATTTGTTTGGTATACAAAAAATACACGGTTTCCATTTAAAAAAAAAAACATGTTTTTGACCGTAAGTCGGCCATTTTGAATTTTGGACCAGATTTATGTATTTTTTTTTTAGACGTCCCCCTTTGTACACTCAGAGTCTTTAATAAACAAATGTTTGACCGGATTAGTATTTTTGGAGAAAAATCGATTAGTATTTTAAACTGGGACACCCTGTATATAATAATAAAATAGACGGAAAATTCAGTAAGACAAGCTCTCAAACTACAACGACGACGTTCGTGTGCCAGTTCAGCGTAGACATGATGCGATGATGATGATGATGATTATCGCGGATGTACAAGCAATATACTATATATAAATATATATATATTATACAGCGTGCTATATAGTAACCCTGACCCGTATTTGAACCGTCTTAAAACAACTACGGCGAAGATTTCCGCAATAATAGTCGATGCGTTTGATTGAAAGTTCACCACCCAGATAATACACATTATAGATTATGTAGCCCAGGATCCGGCTTGGGCACGACGGCGACCCCGCCTCAGTACATTAGTACTTAAGTATCTTGTGTGTTGTCACTTGTCGACCTACCGCCGAATTGGTCCATTTGTCCATTTGTACACCTGATTTTCATTGGACCGACAATTGATCACTTTCCTGCTGAGATCAATTGTCGGCGATTAATTATTCACCGTACTCGGACACGGATCAATGAGTTTGTAAGATCGACAGCGGTACACCTTTTCGGGGAAGTCTTCTGCACAATAAGTAGTCGTTTAAACTTGAAACGGTTTGCTTCGTTTACGGCCGAGTTGGAAGCACTGTGCTTGTGCTCAATTACTTATGTACTGTTTATACAACAATACACGGCGGTATACTTGAAAGCGGCGGTAAGCAATGTGATGCGATGGTCAGATCTCCAAAGTTAGCAGCCACGTGGATATTATATGGAGTCATATGTCTACATAGTGTTCACAAGTGGGACATGTGTATGTGTACTAAATTGATTGAATGTGTTTTTTTAAGCTATATACGTGTGTGTGTCTCGCTAAGCTTGACAAATTATTGATCAAACAAAAAAAAAAATAAAGCGGATATTCTACAACGTAGTAAGCTTATGTGGCTTACAGAAAGAAGAATTCTAATTAAATTCCATATAAGGTACATTGAAAAATGTATCATCACCGCTAGATAGTTAATGTATATTTATATTATTTATACTGTATTGCCTGCAACCGGTAAAATCTTCTAATAAGACACAGCATAGTCAGCAAGTGTATTTAAAAAAAAAAAAAAAGTAATAACAAATTGAGTGTACAACTTGTTTTACACAACGAAATCCAAAAAATGCAAGTATAATGGGCTGCGTTGCCCGTGTTTGTTTGGGTATATTTAATTTATGATAATGTCCTTTATATATTATATTGTTGTAAGTGGAGCGCCGCCGAGCAGTGCATTTTGTGAGTCCCTAAGTACGACAATATTGGTTTAACGTCAGCTGTTCAAATGTTTGCACTAGTCGTACGAGCAGAGACAATGTAATATGTACAATATAATATAGTTGTATTATCTTAACGAGGTACGTAGGTACGGCATGTGACATTTGAAGCATCCGTTAAAGTGTATTTACTCGCAAAAGTTAATTATAAATGTTCGAATAAGTATATATATATATATATATTAAGAGAAGCTGTTCTTATAGTGTCTCACGCGATAACGGTTAGTATAATTTCAGAGTCTTGGGAAGAGAGCAACATCTTCCCTCTGTGATAGATAAGATAATAACCTCAATCTCTGCAGGTTTGGGGCTCCAACCGGTTTCGGTAAAGTGATTATATTTTGAGCTTACACTTTATGTAAAAAAAAAAAGAAAAATGAAATACAATTATTACAAAACCCATTTATTTAGATTTGGATAGAAAACCGACAGTGCAAAAAGCGGCAGCTTGTTTTTTGTAGAAAAGCCCATTTTCAGTGCCTTTTGGTAAGTATTATTTTTTTTTTATTATTATTTAATTACAATTTATGGCCACGTTAAAATGCAAATTTCAAAATTAACATAAACAAAATAAAGAAACCTACCGTTTTTACCGTTTTATATCAGCTGTATACAAGTAGCTCTTTACATATTATATACTACCAACTTGTGAACGTTATTAGATTGGGTAACATAGATGATTTATGAGATCTATAAAACCGTGTCGTTGGGGCACTAGCAAATAATAATTGTCAATTGACCATTAGGGAATAATATACGATATGTTGTGGCTTGGGTTGATAACGTTTACTATTATAGCTAGGTGGTAATACACTTGACCTTTGCCGTGAAGCTCAGGTCTTGTCTTCCGGTTAGTCTGACTTTGCAAAACTATACAATAGGGACTTGTTACTAGTTTCGACCCTTTCGACAGTCTAGTGTTTATCAGTTGATAGTTTCTGGGGTTTTTTTTTTTGCTTAGGTGATGAAAATGTTTGTGTACCCGTCTTGTGTGATAAATGAATGTGTTACAGCCTCTATTGGTAGTATGCAAAAAAAGAGCTCCTTGTATGGAATGTGCTTGTGGAAAGTATAAATAACTTAAGCCAAAACTTCACCGAGAAATCGCACACCGTAAGGTTTAATATTTATATGTATATATATATTTTTTTTTTCTTCTTAACTTTGTATGAAATATTGAAATAAAATTGAATCTAAAACTTTTTCTCGTGATTCTTTGAAACTTTCAAGGTTAAGTCGGAAAGGTTTTTTTTTATAATTTATTTATTGCCAATGTAATTGGGTCGATTTGCGACCTTTACACAGGTGGGCCAGACAAATGTTTCCCAGCATCATAAAAAAAAAGTACTCATGCCTTTGTGAATGTGTAAAATTATGTTGTAATATATATATAAATATCTTAGTATAAACGCTTTGGCCTTTGCAATCAATACAATATGAAATTCCATCAACTAAACTAACTAGAACTATGTCCTATTGGATTCAGTTGCTCTTAAATTATTCACAGTGCATTATAGTGGGTACCTTAACTCATGTTTGTTGCAAGTATTCAACCGCTTGTCTTTTGGTTTTTACTATTAATACAAAATATAAAACGACCCATTTATAACAGAACACGCGTGCCAAGATGGCTATTCTGAATTTTTTTTTTTTTTGTAAAGTTTGCACCAATGTTTATATTGCTATGTATAATTTAATATAGGCAACAATAGAGCAAGTTTTCCTCTATTGTTATAGTTGGTTTTTATTGTTGTTTTTGTAAAAAAAGCTCGTTTATTCTAATTAAATCTAAAGTACGTTAACCGTTTCACTTATTATGTGCTTAAACAGATGGTTAAAAAAACCCATCCGGTTAAAAAAAAAAAAATCATCTAATTTTCATAAAATATAAATAAACCCGTTTTATAGTATGTTAAGAACTGCTAGTCGATTATTATAAATATGTCTACAGTCTGGTTGTTCCTATTAAAAAAAAATAGGCTTTATTTGATATTTTTAAAAATAATTCCGTTCTGCAACAGGATAACATGCTGTTATTAACAGCGATATAATAATATACATGTATTTCCTCGGAACTGTTGGAATTGGAAAACTGGCTGAAGTGTAATTATAGCTGTTTCCTGTTAAAATGGTTGAGCGATAAATGTGAATTGCTAGTAAATGCGAATGTGAATTGCTAGTCTTCAAAACTATTTTAAATGTCAAAAGTAATATTGAAGTTCATTGACAAACTTAAGATAAACGGGTTTCGATTAAAACAATTAAAAACTAATGTGGCCGTTAAATTCTCTCCAGTTACAAAACATTACTCTGGACGACTTAAACCTTTGTTCGATCGTCGTTTAACCATATTTCGGGTACTTGAAAAACCATTTTTTTTTAGTACCCACCCCACAAAAGGCACACCAAAAAAATACATACATATATCTTTACGTTTGTAAACATTTTACTTGCAAAATGGGTTGTAAGAGAATTAAATTTAAAAAAATGTTTTTCTAAAATAAATACTGTATCTATAAATAAATAAATACATTGTTTAACGATTCAACATGGTCAACAATAATAATACATATTGGTGTGTTGTATAAGTCACGCTAAGGGTACGGTTGTCATGCAAACTAAACTACAATATAGATCACTATCGTTGGTGTGCTGAGACGTACCTCGCAGACGACTCCATGGTACTCATCGGTTTTGCATATATATATATATATATATATTTTATATATATTATACTATCAAGTCAGCAAAACACAGTGTCCAACAACTAGTGATAGGCCCAACGATGATGAACACACGATTGGCAATAAGAAATTATAAAAATAGTATTAATTAACAAACCATTTGTTACTTAAACGGTGACTTGTTTTTTTTATAATATAAATACAATATTATTTTTTAATGATAATTTTGTTAAAAACAAAAAAAAAAAAGAATACAGAACGTCAACAAGTGGTGGACGAGCGGCGGCGGACGTTGTCCCGATACCGCGATGGCCACACGGCGCGGCGGCGGCAAGAGTGTACGCGACGGCCCCCAGCTGTCTGCGGACGCCGAGTGCGTGCCGCGGCGGCGGCGACGGCGGCCGCTACGGATACTCGGCGGATGCGCGCCGCCGCCGCCGCCGCCGACCGGAAGTGGATAGCGGCGGAAGAGGGTAGTGTACGCGCGACCACGTGGGTAACGGCGGCGGCGGCGGCACCGCGTGTCCCGGTGGACGACCCGAACGCCATCTGTCGGCCACGACGGCCACGCACACACCGGATATAGTATCGATCATCCGCGTCCCCGGCCGTCGTGTACACGTTGGTTACATCTTATTTGTAACAATAATTACTATTGCAAACACAGCTTAAAGCTACCTATTGTATTCTTAAATCTCAAGACAAATGCAGAAGGGTCACTTTCAATTTTCAACGAAAAAGTGACCGCCATTTTGTAAAATGTTTTGTTTCGTATAATTTTTCATCTATACACGACTAGTAACCGATAATGTATAGATATAACATTATGTGTAGGTGTCTAAGAAGATGACCGTCGAAGCCTGTCCAAAACCGAGTATGGTTTCGGTTAGGTCAGGTTCCTTTTTAATTTCCCGGTTGAAAGTTATCATATGTTAATAGTCCTTAGTAGTCTGGATATGGACTTCAATGTAAAAAAAAAACTTGGCAAAACAACTTGGGAACTTTATTCAAATCCACATGAAACACTGAATATAGTTAACTGACTAGTGACTGACTTCGTTATTTGAACAGTTTATTAAAAGTCATAATTAATATTGTAAGTGCGGTATTATGTAAGTGCAAATTATTAGCAAGTAGAGATCAAAATGCCCGAAAATTCCCGGAAAAAAACTTAAGACATAGAAAAAATGGAAAATTTGGGATTTTTTTTGTATAATAAATTTCAGAAAAACACAATATTCTTTTGAGATCTGATATGATAAGTAGGAAATAAAATTCCGTATAAATAATGATTAATTGTGTTTGAATCATATGCAAAATAATAAATTCAGAACAAATAGATTTGTATTGCACTAATTAGATCATAGACGATCCAATAGAAAATCTAACAAGTTCATAACGAGATTCTAAAGCGGATAAAATAAATTAATTTTACTGATAAACAGAAAATAGTACAAGACTGATACTGACAAATTTTTAATATTTTAATAATAATAATAATTAACAAGTTATAAAACTGAAATTTATTGTTAAATATCAATTCGGTTTAATTGTTATATTTTTTCCATTTATTTCATCACTATTGTTTTACCAGAGAATGGAAAAATTAAAATTGAAATTTTTAGAAATAAATTTATATATATTTATTTGTATGTTATGTATATTATGTCATATTTTCTTGTATTTTTTTTTTGTAAAAAAAGAAGTATTAACCCAGATGAGTGGAGGACTAAATCCAAAATGATTTCAACTTAATTAGGCGCTTCTTTTATAAAAGTTTTTAAAAATTATAACAAATATTGAATTAAAAAAAAAAAATCTCGATAAAACCAATACTATTCCTCGCTGAATTGACAAGCAAGTTATTGTATTATTTTCTTCGGTGAAATGTAACAATTTGATTGGAACTCCCCACTGCTGCTGTTTAGAAACTTTTCAAATCATTTTCACCCCAGCGAGCCTATTCACACCGTTGGACCGGACATTACTTGGAATATTAGGTAGTGCTGATCACAGATCACAGACAAAACTACTATCTAAAACTTATCTAGTCTGTGGTATTATTCGAATTGGGTTCCACGACGAACCAAGTTATTTTGCACACTTGCTTACTTGTTCAGCTCGTTCAAACAATGTGTTTGCAGGAGTGTAGGATAAAGTACCGATTTATTCGGGTTGTCAGTAGTTGCACAATAGTTGCAATGGTATTTTACACAATCGATATAGTGTTATGTAGTAATTTAAACTTACAAAGTCATTGTTATTTTATCAGAAGCTACAGACAGTGCAGGTACCCAAAACGTGGAACGCATTTATATGGTAAACATATTATTTAAAAAACAGTCATTTTTTCCAGATGCAACTCAACTGACACATTGTCAGTGTGCCAAATTAGAGTCAGGTCAGTGATTTGCAAAAATTAAACAGCAAACAGCAGCCGTAATACGGCACAACGCAATCGCATTGGCATGTATCAGATAAATATAAAGATGTGCCCATTATATTATCCAAAAGGATTTTCCCGAAGACGGTTCGCCGGTCTTGAATAATCAATTTTGGTGTTGACCCAAAGGGTTGGGGTCTTGGCCGCCGGAGGGCGCTGTTGCCTGGATTTTTCCACATTCATCAGCTGTATGCTCAAGTCCGTAGTACTACGAAGGGAAAACCCACCCCCTGGCCCCGGTCGTACCCCTCGGGGAGGGTTTGTAGGTAGTCTCGTGCGAGTTCAAACGGTTGCCAGCGAGAGAGTTCCCATACCTTTTTACACGGTATCATATATAATATAACAATATAACGATAATTGTTTTATGGCGCGTACCTTTGAGGTTGGCCGTATAAAAGGGTAGTTTGCCTTTGACAATTCAAAATGCTAAATTTTGCCACGCGAATTTTGTTGGCGAGACCAAAACATGATATAAGCACTGGAATAACAATAATAATAATAATACATTACTGGCCTTCCTAAGGTATTCCCGTTTGCCAGTCACACATATGTCACTTGACCGATTTCTTGGCGCAGGAACTCTGTAGATCACAAATCGTACCTGGAACAACATTTATTAGGCAAAAAGTTAAAAAAATTCACCCCTTCCTCTTCAAATTCGAGAAAAACACCCAAAAAAAAAAAGGTTACATATTTTCAACTTAAAATCACTATGACTTTTTTTAAAAACAGGCGAATTAGTTGCAAATTTGTTTTGGAATATTCTTCAAACATGGTTCAAGAGCTGGAAATGTTATCTTTATTTCGGTTTTAGGGATTTAGGTCTGAAGACTAGACCTGGATCCAGAAAAGAACAATAACATGTACAATTTCCTCGAAAATCTGTGGTAAAACTTTTTTTTTTATTAAGGGAAAGCCCCAAAAAAAGGGGGAAATTACACTTTGATCATAGTCAATTTTTAGATTACTGAATGTGTGAGTGAATCAAACGGTTAGGTTAGGTTAGGTTTGGTACTGGCAATATATTTTCACAGACAGTCGATCAACTCTAACACTAAAAATTAAATTTTTAAGCACAACTGTCTTTAAGTACAATGCTTTTATGGATTTTTGTATTTTTCTCTGTTAACACTGGACCTCCCTTACTATCACTACTACTACTACTTACTGCTACTACTCACCTACTTACTGTGCTTGGTTTGGACTGTACTGGTTTGCACCTATTGTTCATAGTTTTGCGTTGAAGCGTTTATTTGAATGTGATTTTATCTCTTTTTGTAGTCATGACAAACAATTATTCCCTGTAGACCTGTGACCTCCCCGACTCCACTATACTGACTATTTTTTTTTAATTATTTTATCCCACAGGAGCTCTTCGAAATACAATATTTTAGCCATCTATCTGCTATTCTAAGACAGCGATGAAAATATAGAAAGTAAAAAATGTATGGAATTTTGTGTACAACCTACGTAGACCGCACTATAAAACCTGTGTCTACCAATACGGTTAACTCGCCTCTTCGGTAGTATTGTGCAACTGCACAAATATATATATATATATAATACTTGTATCTTATGGCAATAAACATTATTATATGTATTTCAGGTTTACTTAAAGACAGGTGACATTCTATCAAAAATGTGATTGTCGTCTAGTCTTCACACGGTTTATCATACATTTATGTTATTGCTTTAATTCAGTACATAAAAACTAATAAATACATATACATACTATTTTTTATAAAAAAAAATATATTTATACTTACACATAAAACTTAAGAATAAGTATTAAGCTTTTAATATGTCAAAACATCCTTGAAAACGGATTCTAATCGTAACAATGTTTGTGGGAGTTTGTAACGGTTATTGAATGACCACCAACGCTTGTGTCCCAACTGCTAGTAGTACAGTTTACCACAGTAATACTATAAATAATAATAATAATAATAAAACCTACGGTAACCACTACAATAAAGATATTATAACTTAATGGGATACGTTGGTCTAGCATAAACAAAATAATAAACATAAGATTAATATATTGGTACAATAGTTTTTACAATAGCATATTGCTACATCCTCCTAATGTACTATTTTATTGACCTTTCTGACTTGTGACATTTAAGTTATGAGGTCCACGTTGAGCTTGCAATATATAAAAAGGAAATATAATAGTTGACATTCAATATAGTACATTAAAGTCATAAATTGACTGCGCATACACATTTTTTGGTCTACATTGTACAGTTTTTAAGACAATTAATCTTGTTTTGAGAGCAGCAGCCCAAGTCTTAGAACAAGCAGCAGTCAGGTCATAATACTTGACAATTTACCAAAACTACATATTTTGCATGTGATATACATCTTTATTGGTGCACTAATATAATAATAACAGTTTATATTGCATTTAAACTATGAAACTACCATTGAATAAATTGTCAATGAAGATTTTTTCAACTAACTTAGCAGTGAATTTGCTAAGCATATGAATAAATTATATTTTTTAAATGGTTTATTTTTTACACTAGTATGATTTTTTTTTAGTTTAAAAAATGAATTAATTTGCAGCAATATTAACGACAAATTAAAAAATGTCTTTGCAATAGTTTTTGCACATTTTACTGGACGATTTTATTCCATTAAAGTTTATTACTTAAAAATGTCGATTTGAACTCGGCATAACTCATGAATAGGTTTGGTAATTCCCATATCCTGTCTTACTCGGTCAACTATTTGTTTGAAATGTTCATAGTTCATGCCATGAGCATTTTCGTCTATTCAGACATTGTTTTGCACTATTCTCTGTCATTTCACAAGAGTAATAAATAGACATTAGCAGGAATTCTGAGAACGGTTTTAATACTAAGTACTCTGTACTTTTGTAATAAGAATAAAATCTATTTTACATAGAATTATTGAAAGTTATTGATTATTTCTAATAATATGACTCCACACAAACAACCTAACGAGCCTTCTATAGTGTTATATGTTTTTTTACCGCTATTGCCGGATCTTCTGAAGCTACAAATGCTAGGCAGTAGCTGGAGACTTCACTCATTGTAAATTTACCGCCTGAAATGATTACAAAACGATATCAATTTTTTTTAAAAATTCTAATCGGGCCAAATGAGTTGAGAATAACAACAAGGCGGTTACTACTTGATTGATAAAAATGTCTTTTCAAATAGTTTTTGAACCTTTCACTCGACGCATATTAATTTGAATATTTGTTTATTACATAATGCTGTCCTTTGCAATACATCAACGTTGGGGAACTCGTTTGATAGTTTGTCTTGCTCTGCTACTTTGGCAAATAAAACGTTTAAATCATCAAGGTCTATGCCATCTTGTGCCACATTTTCCGTGACCACGCGATAAATAAACTCCTATAATAATATTAAACTTTCAAATGTAAATGATATCAAATAGTGTTCCTCGCAGATTAGCGCTATAGTTTTTATATTTACCGTTATTTGCGGATTTGTCGCTGTAGTTACAAACGCCAGGGTTCTGATTTCCACATAAAAACTGAAAGTACAATAGGTGTTACAAAGTATTACTTTTTTAACTAACCAAATTAGCCAAATTTTACCGCAAAGGTATTGAGTAAGACCAATGAAGTCACGATAATGATTATACATTCTTGGTTAAATTGATTAATTAAGAAAATAATAATAAACATTATGTATACATCACATTTTCTACTTTTATTTGTATATTTTGTATCTTCAAAACGAGGTGTTTCAAAAACATGTTAATTTCTAAATAAACTCGGATTTGAGAATATTTAACTATTCATTTTGCAAGTAAACCCCGTTTTGAAGTTGTTACGCTAATACTATACTGTTATACTATTAATAATAGTACTTATGGCGATTCTATAATGTGATGGAAAAAAATTCAGAAATTCGGTTGTGGTTATTAAAAGTTATTTTTTTACTAATATGCAATGCAGTATTTAAGTACAAGAAAGTATACTTGAGAAATGGCAACGGTTTCTAATTTGTAGCCACATAACAGTGCGGTTTTGCTGTAAACAACAGATGTTTAACAACTTTTTTATTTGCTTTGTATGTAATATTTTTTACTGTTATTTTTTTATTGAAATACTCACAACAGTGACTTTTTAAAACTGTTTACTCACGTGCAAAATATACCGTGCATTTTGTACCTATTGCAGACAATCTTAGGGGGGGAAATGTAATAGTTTCAAAATGTGCATTATACTAACCTTTTTGTTATGTGAAGTTTCAAAATCAGACAAACCGCAATTCGAGCATCCAAATATTGATAATAGAAGGCTCAATGTACTATTATATACCTTTAATGTTGTCTACATATACATAGTAGACCCGCCTTGGCTCTTACAACTTATATAAATTGTATTATAACTTAATACTTTACTCTGCGTAAGTTTCGACCCATAAAGCACTATAGGGATTTACTCGGAGGACACCGTTCATTCAGTCTCTGTGTAGTATATAATAATATTATTCACATTTATATTACATTAAAATGTACACCAAAACCCACTTGGACAGCCCTAAGGCTTTTGATTGGCGGGTTGGGATTACAGTTTGTGGCAACTTAACGCTACCGCCAAACAATAATTAGTTTGTAACGTTTTCGAATTTTGTGACAACAAAAAAAAATTCATTGAAAGGTCAGTTGTAGATTAAAAAAAAAAAAAACATTTTTTTCAAAACCAATACTGTTTTAAATTTAATCACTGTGGTAAATGGTTTAAGTCCATTTAAACAGTTTAAATTGTGTCGACCTCCTTTCTGGTTTCCAAGGTATTTCTTGCCTCATATTATTTTGACACTCTCTTATATATTTTGTACTTCTGAATTCCGAATAGGTAATAATATTATTTATATCATTTCGGTTTATTTATAAACCAGATCAATTCGAAGTACACTTTTTTTTTATTGCATATTTTTAAATAAAATATAGCTGTTTTCGAACATAGTTAAATATTACCTAATATTTAGACTACATTATACAAAAAAAAAAAACCATTAAACTCATAACACACATGTTTACTTTGAAAAATAGTAATAAAAAATTGCAAATTTTACCTAATGAATTCGTTTTAAATGACTTTATTGTACTTTGAATTGCATCACAAAGTAATTGCATTATAACACCATATTATAGGTGTCATAAACCATGTGAGCAACCGGTTTGCCAACGGTCGACCATAATTACATATCATAGTTTTAACACATATATCACAAAACAAAAGTTTACTTGAACGTTTTAATGACAGTGAAAACGTTATAAACATGTATACATTTAAAAAAAAAAATTATTTACTTGAGGTTTTTATGATATCCAGAAAGGCTTTGTACAACATGGTTTTGAACTTAAAAAAAATTCTTCGGTTAGGTAATAGTAGTATCGAAATCAAAACTTAATGGAATCTTCTTCTCTGATCTGTAAACTTTTATCTGTGAAGTATCATAAGAGATCTTACTAGTGGACTTAATTTATTATTAATGTCATAAAAAACAAATAAAATCAAAAACAAGTTACAATAAGTGTAACCACGCCTTGCATTAAGACTCATCGTGCTTTTATTAAATTTTAAAACAAAAATAACCACCATACCTCGGTGTATTAATTATTGTGTAAGTTCTACAATAGTTTAGGTCCTATATTATACCATAGTAGAGAATAAGTATATAGCTGTACCTTGTTTTGTTCTTTAATAACGACATTCTTTCTCGTTGTTTCCCATCCGGAATAATGTGACATTGTTGTTTCTGTGAAAAACATTATGAACAAAAAGGACTATTTATTCCAGGTGTTGGTTTTGTACAATGTAATGTTAATATATTACTGTACGTCTACACTAGGCTCTAATGGCATGTGTCTGTGTATCAAATGACAAAAACCGTGGCTCAAAATTAAAACCGGTGTGACATAAAATTTCAGATTTGATAAAAATAAATTGTATCTAATCCATGATTTAAATATACCAGGTTATTGCATATCTACCCCCACTTCCTAACATTTTCAAACGCAAAATAAAAAATGGCACCATAACGGGCGGCGTTCTTATTGGTTTAAATTTATTGACTGATAAGCTATTTTTCTCTTATCAGTTTACAGTGTTATAAGCCTTACACACGAACAAAATATGAGAAATTATCGAGTCTATATATTATTATGTATATTACGCTGGTAATTAAATACAATATAATATTATTCCGTTTAAAAGTAGAGTGCATAATTTCTGTGTCATTGTCACGTAGTGTTGTAATTAATTAATAATTAAACTTTCAAATATCATTTTAAACGGTATCGGCTCACTCTAACCTGTTTTGTGTAACACCTACATAGGTATATATATTTATCTCGAACGACGATATTGCTTTTACAAAAAAAAAAAATGGACTCGGTAAGACAACTCGACTAAATAACCGTCAATCCTTTAAGAAAGCAGTGACACTGTCTGCTCGAGTTATTCGTCAAAGTCAAAAGAAGCAATCTAGTCAAACAGAGAAGTGACAACCGCCAAATCATGTCACAACTTCAGCTATAACCCACTTGTATAGGAATATAGTAAACTCTATTGCAACGATAGAAAAAAACACATAATATAAGTATACTTTGATAACAATATTGCAGCACCCCCCCCCCCCAAAAAGCTAAGCTTGTACCTGTGGAGAAAGTTCATACCTTCTTAAACGTTAAATCGTCTCAGATAAGAATAAATACTCTAAAATTGATTAATTTTAATATTTAACAAAAAAAAAAAAAAATGTAAATAATAATTCATAAATTTAAACCGGTAAATTTTTTTGTCCAAAAAAATTATGACAATTCAGTAAACGTACATTGATATTTTGTTTATATACCTAGTATGTATAATAATATGTTCATGATCTGATACAAGAATTAAATGCTTTTGTTTATACAGTCAAAACGGATAATTCCCAAATAATTTTTAAATTCTTAACGTTATGTTTCATACATATTTTATACCTTTTGGTTTTCCCCCTAAACTTTTAGGTACATATTTTACTAAATTTTTCAATATTTCGATCATTTATAAACCTACCGTACTCTGAATCATAATCAGTTATAATAAAATTAACCTGTAATCTAAGTAATCTGTAGATAACGAACCGTTTGTCTATTTTTTATGTGATAACGGTTTTGGAAAACCTAAGGAATATGATAATTAGAGGAACGTACGCAGTATCTTTACAAAGTCATAGCTGTAATTTATGTAATTAAAAACATATGTTGCCATTTACCGGAAATCCCCTCTTTTTTGGCTTATAAGGATTGGCAGATCGGTTTGCAATAGACTATTGTTTTTTTTTTCTCACAAAAACAACCTATTTAGAAGTGCCAGTTTTTCTCGAATTAATTTTCTACAGAATTATACAGATTAAAAAAAAAAAACACTGCGGTGAAGATAGTGGGCAAAATATAAATCACAACACATTGTGTAGCATTGTGTTTAAGCCGGACGTCCTGGTTAGGGCGCACAAACAACAAAAAAACCCTTTTGGGTCGACGACGTTGTAACTTAATTGCGTGTAAACAAAAGAAGAGCGGTCGCCCTTGGAAAAAAATTTAAACCAATTACCGGCGCGTCTCTCTGTTGTCCCGTCTGGCCCTTCTGGCGGTTTTATTTAATTTTTTGTGAGGGGGGGGGGGTGTAGGGCAATTGTAAAAATGAGATCTACACTACTCCACTTTTGTGCGGACACTTTTGCGGGCACAATGCGGTCGACAAGAGTTTGCGGGCGTTCGGTTTTCTTGACAACACTGTGGTGTTTGCAGGCATGGACCTCCGCGGTGCCAGATGCCGGGTCCGCCCAGGTAAGTACGGGCAAGTACAAGAACAAGACCGCGGTGGACCGGGTGGACGTGTGCACGTTGAACGCGTGCGAGGCCTACGTGCGGATGCGCGACGACCTGGCCAAAGCGGTGCAGCCGATCAACGAGAAGCTCCGGGGAGGCGACGGGTCGTCGTCGGCCGGCGACCTGGGGGCCGTCTTGGAATCCCGGCTCCAGCGGCTGGACAGGAGACTGCGGTCGGTCGAACAACCGGGCGAGTATACACACATACATACATACATACGGATTCATTTTAAATATTACAATTATTATTATTATTATTATTATTATTATTTACAACGAAAAAGCGTCAAATTATTGTGTTTATACTTTTGTTGAACGTCTTGATAGTAAATCGCAATTCACACATACTTTTTGACACTATTTTTTACAGCTATTAAATGATCCGGCAAAAAACGTTGAACAGGTGTGTACATAAACTAACATGGGCGGTTGTTATTTAAAAATAAAAATAAAAATGATTAACTACTTGTATAGGCAACAATACACACTGGTGTTCGCTTTTCGAATTTAAATACTGATTTAAGTTTGGTTTTTTACATTGAAAAGTAAAAACATATTAAAATTAAAATTTAATGTACAATATTGATAAAAAATACCAGTAATTATCTATAAGTATTTATAGATACTTAATGTACATATGTTATCTATACTCGTTTATTGAAAATTACATTTTTTTTTTTTTAATAAATATGTTATGTGGCTATAGACGGATCGTTTATTTTTGAAAGCCGTCAAACTCGTATAACTATTATGGTAATTGTGAAGTCAGCATAAAAAAGTTCCTATTAATGATTTATATATTAATAAAAGATATTTGTGTAAGTCATAATGAAATATTGGTAAAGTAGTTTTGGTTTACATACACTCAATTGCAGAAAATTCCGTTTATGATTTAGTAATTTTATTTATGAAAAGAGTTAAGTATCTCATTTGTTTACGAAAAGGGTCAAATTCGTTCGATTAAAAAACTTTGACTTTTGGTTAAAAAATAAATTTGAAAAATTGGTATTCATAAATAGTTAAAACATGTATAGTGCATATAAAAATTATTAAAATATTTCTTATAATTTTTTTCAAGTAACACTGCATGGCCAAGGCGTCTATTTTCAAAACCAGCCATAAGAAATTTTTAGAAATTTCTCTAAAACATAAAGTTAAGATTTGACTCTATGATTTTATAATAAATATGAAATCAAAGATTTGGAGTGTATACACTATAACGAGCTTTTTGTAAATTAACTTGTATGAAAAACAATACACAAGATTCATTCTGTGTTTTCAATTTGAATTTTTTTATTTATTGGAGTTGCTTCTCTTTTATAACGAAAGATAATATGACTAAATGTGACTCAATTAAGCAAAAATATATATATATTTAAAACTTGGAGTTACACCACTTTTACAATGAACGGCCCCCATATAATAGATTCAATTACACTGGTCAACAAAACTTAGTAACAATTAGAAAGGTGCTTAATAATTTTAAAATACCCACCTACCCTCATTATGAAACCGTATATTTTATTTTGATTCAGTACACAAAAAAAAAAACTGATTTAACAATTTTTATTTTAAAACTGATTTAAAAATTAACAAATAATTTTAAGTTATGAAAAAATGTGTCAAATTAGTATTTATACTTTTGTGATTATTTATGTAAGAGACAGTTATAAATAATACATAGTTTTTTAGTTATTTAGATATTTTAGTTTTTTTGTTACATAAGAAGTCATGATATTTACTTTTACTGAAACTTTATTAGTCACATAGAACGTTATATTTATTAATTTTCCACGGTCAAGCTGCACCGTAATTGACTTTTATTATAATTTAATTAAATATAAAATTCTTTTCAGAGTTCATAAGTAATTCAAATTAAAAGAACGATTGCATGTGTAAATGCTAAATATAACAATACAAAAACTACCAGGCGTGATCATCACTGTTTAATTTTTTCATTGGCAGTAGTTAAAAAAAATGATACGTTATTTTATATAAAAACAAATTCATTATTTCAACAAACAGTAAAATTAATTACTTATTTAATATGAATAACTAAATAAAATTCGAAAAAAATTGATAACACGACACTGTTAAGACATGCTAGTTTATGCGCTCGAATGGTTATCGATTTATCATTATCATACTTTTGTGTTGTATACAAATCTCCTATGTGTTACATATTATTAACACTATTGCATCCGGTGTAACATGTATACCACATAAGAGGTGTTTAGTGTGAAGTGATGGGCATTTTTAAAACACCTCATGTAATATGATAACACATTAATAATATTTAGTATTCACATGAGCAGGGTTGTCACTTAGAGTTTAAGATTGAAAACAGTTGCATAAGTGACTCAAACATTTTAAAACTGCCATTAAGTCACATTTTCAACTAAAAGTCAACATTTTTTTTTTGCAAGTCTCTAAAAGTCAACTTTTTTCAGTAATACACACTAAAAGCAACTTTTTGTTTTTATAATATATATATATATTTATTTGTAGCCGGTGGGAATTTTTGTTTTTTATAATATATGTTTTATCATAAAGAGATACTGATAATGTTAGTATTTTATTATTTTCAATCTCTATTTATCTAATCCCCTTAGAGGCGGGTTCACTTAATCAATTATTGTTATACCACCATAAATATGATGTTTTTAAATCTTTTTTATTATTTCCATGCCTTTAATGAATGATATGCACAATTAAATACTTATTTAATAATCTAAAAAAATAATCACTATGTGAGTTTGTTACATTTTAATTTATACACTTTTCTTACATGTATACAGGGTGATCCAACTAACGTTAGACGACCATTTTCTCTGAAAATATCAATATTTTCAGAATTTTTTTTTTGTCCTTGACTTTTAAGTACATATTTTACTACATTTTTCAATATTTTAAACATTTTTATCACCAATCCTTATAAGCCAAAAAGGGGGATATTAGGTTTTTTTTTAAATGGCAACATATGTTTTTAATAAATTAATTTTTATAATCTTTTATTAAATTATAATAGAAGTCAATTACGGTACAGTTTGACCGTGGAAAATTAATAAATATAACGTTCTATGTGACTAATAAAGTTTTAGTAAAAGTAAATATCATGACTTAAATACCTCTTATGTAACAAAAAAACTAAAATATCTAAATAACTAAAAAACTATGTACTATTTATAACTGTCTCTTACATAAATAATCACAAAAGTATAAATACTAATTTGACGCTTTTTTTCATAACTTAAAATTATTTGTTAATTTTTAAATCAGTTTTTTTATTTTGTGTACTGAATCAAAATAAAATATACGGTTTCATAATGAGGGTAGGTGGGTATTTTAAAATTATTAAGCACCTTTCTAATTGTTACTAAATTTTGTTGACCAGTGTAATTGAATTTATTATAGGGGGGTCGTTTATTGTAAAAGTGGTGTAACTCCAAGTTTTTTAAAATATATGTATATATTTGCTTAATTGAGTCACATTTAGTCATATTATCATTTGTTATAAAAGAGAAGCAACTCCAATATAAAAAAATTCAAATTGAAAACACAGAATGAATCTTGTATTGTTTTTCATACAAATTAATTTACAAAAAGCTCGATATAGTGTATACACTCCAAAGCTTTGATTTCATATTTATTATAAAATCATAGAGTCAAATCTTAACCTTATGTTTTAGAGAAATTTCTAAAAAATTTCTTATGGCTGGTTTTAAAAATAGACCATACAGTGTTACTTGAAAAAAAATATTTTTAATAATAATTTTTGTATGCACTATACATGTTTTAACTATTTGTGAAAACCAATTTTTCAAATTTATTTTTTAACCAAAAGTCAAAGTTTTTTAATCGAACGAATTTGACCCTTTTCGTAAACAAATGAGATACTTAACTCTTTTCATAAATAAAATTACTAAATCATAGTCTGAATTTTCTGCAATTGAGTGTATGTAAACCAAAACTACTTTACCAATATTTCATTATGACTTACACAAATATTTATAAAAATATATAAATCATTAATGGGAACTTTTTTTTGCTGACTTCACAATTACCATAATAATTATACGAATTTGACTGCTTTCAAAAATAAACGATCCGCCTATAGCAACATAACATATTTATTAAAAAAAAAAAATGTAATTTTCAATAAACGAGGACAGATAATAAATGTACATTAAGTATCTATAAATACTTATAGATAATTAGTATTTTTATCAATATTGTACATTAAATTTTAATTTTAATATGTTTTTACTTTTCAATGTAAAAAACCAAACTTAAATCAGTATTTAAATTCGAAAAGCGAACACCATTGTTGTTGCCTATACAAATAGTTAATCTTTTTTTTTTTTTTTAATAACAACCGCCCATGTTAGTTTATGTACACGCCTGTTCAACGTTTTTTTGTCGGATCATTTAATAGCATGTGTGCATTTAAGTATGTGTGAATTGTGATTTATTATCAAGATGTTCGAAACAAAATTGAATAAAAACCACAATATATTATGATTTTTTTTTTTTAGAATTTCGAATTCTATGACGGAAAAGAAATCTATGTCTTTGCCTTGGCGTCTGTTTAACCGTTTGCCGTTTTCAGTGTGGACAATATTGCCGGGAAACGATCGGTGGAAACGGTGCGATCACGGACCGTGCAAGTGCAGGACTGAAACGCATTCGGTGAGCTGTTGGAGAAAGGACTTTGAAGAAATCCCATCCAATCAAATCGTGCCGTACGACGTCAACGCAATGTAAACAATGTATTATCTAAATCCGTATCGAAATCAACGAGGTTTGCACTTGTTTCGTGTGTATTGCTTCAGTACAATATCAGTGCAAAGCGTCGCCGCTTGGGCACATCCGCCGGGGGGAAACGCGTAATCCCTCCCTTCCCCCTCGAAAAAATCGGTGTATTTAAGAGCACCAGCCACCGCTAATTGATACTATCGAATCGATCCCGTTTGGCGTGCCTCCTGTTTCGGTTTCGAAACAGCCGTAAGACACTATTGAACGTAATATTAATATGTTTTAAAAAAACGCATTAACAACGTACCGCGTCGAGGCCGGGCAAGGCCGCGCTGTGTCGACCGCGACGATCCAAACCAACTGACGGACAGCGCCTTCCACCTGTTACTCAGCTGTTACACCGGTTGTGATGTTTCTTTTTTGGCCAATACAAATACATATATATATATATATATATATATATATATATATTGAAATAATTGTGAAATAATAATCCGACGGGTTCAATTGCATATCGTATTTTCCTCCTATAATATGTAACCGAATGAATAGTAAACGGAATATTGTACGGAAAATATGCACGATTTATGTAACTATAATCGACTTGACCGTTTTGACATAATAATATTTTTGTTTTGACAAATGACTAAATGCAAAACGCGCAAGAGCTAGCGTAAGATAGCTCCGGTTAAGACATCGACACTACTGGATTTGCTCAGCAAAAATTACAACAGGAAGATAGGGTTTTTTAAACTAAACATACACAATATTATTACATACACTACAAGTCGCATGCTTATTGCGCAACAACTATGGTTTGTAAATAAAAATAAAAAAAGGTACAATTAGTACCAACAGTCATAAACATGTTAACTAATACTGTATTAGTTTGATTTTTATATCTTGTCTTCGTCTCATCTCCAATATACTTGTAACAACAATATTATAATCTGAAGTCTGACGATTGAGTAAGTAACCAAGTCCAAAATGTCCAAGTACCAACGTTTCCAAGGAATTTTTAAATTTCAAATAAAACTAATAATATAGAAAGTAAACATATTCAGGTCACAAACAGTTTTGTTTTTTCGTTTTTAATAGGTTAGCAGCGCATAAATCATAAAGCTATACAAATAGCCGTGAGGAGTGACGTCAAAATTTAAAAATATAGTTTTTCTATTAGTCAGATAAAAAAAATAGCAAATTGTAGAATTATTATTTCTAACATAATTATTATTTATGGTATCATATTGCATTGTACTTTGACACCGACAAAAATCAATTAAAGTATTGAGATTTTTCGATTATACTTAATTGGCCTAATATGTACATTAGTGCAAAACATGTGATTTTGTTTACACGTTTGATTTGTTAATACAATCACTCTGAACATACAAATAGAACTCGACAAAAATAACTAATATAGTCGACAGCGCCAGTGTGGGGACGGTCGTTGAACTTCATGGGTACAACTAGGGCATTCTCGCATAAACCCGATGCAACATACTTATTCCCTATAAGTAAACGGAAGAAGCAAAACTTGTATTATTGTGCGTATCGATAATTGCTTAGATAATTATTTTCAAACACTAATACCTAACTGCAGAACAAACGCACGTCGGTGTGTTTCAATATTTACTTTACTCCTGTTTTGCCGATTACAGTAGTAACAGGCTCTTGACATGGCCATCAATTAGAAGACGTGTCACACTTTCGGCTTTAGAGGTGTAATTTTTGAAATTTACGGCGGATTATGCCGAAATTTTTTCGCCCAATAAATAATAGGATTATATTTTGAGACTTAGACAACGCGTGCAAATATTGGGCTCCAGGCGTTCCTATTGTTTGTCCAAGATAATCCTCGAAAAATAATTCATAGCGATTCGTCAGGATTTCAGGCGTGAATTTGTTTTTGCACCGTTTTGAAGTACAAACAAAACCAAGTACGAATATATATGTTAGGGTGTACCAAAAAAACATTTTTTTTTTGTTCTCCTCTTGACATCATGTTCCTTGGGGTAAAATAATATTTCCCTATTTTTTTCAGATTTTTAACTTATTCCTCATTTAGTTGCAAAGAATTCCGATATACTTACATAACACATTATTCTAACAATAGATCAAAAAAAAAAAAATTTAAAAAAAAACAAAAAACAAGTTTAATAAATTTAAAATATTTTATACCCCTAAAAAAAATATTTTAGGGTACTATTAAGGGTATATATATATATCAATGTTTTCGCGAATTTTACATTCTAAGGCCTAAATTAGTTGTATAGTAGTTTTTTTTTGTAAAAAAAAAAAAATACTGGTTTATTCCTCTTTTTTTTAATGATGATTTTGTATAAAAGCAACATTTTGTTTAAAATTGATATTTATACCTTAAAAAAATTAAAAGCTAAAAAAAAATTTTTTTTGGAAAACTGATGCTCGCAACCTCTAAAATTAATTTCAAAAATCTGAAAAAAAATAGGGAAATATTATTTTACGCCAAGGAACACGATGTCAAGAGAAGAACAAAAAAAAATTTTTTTCGGTACACCCTAATATATGTATACACCAAACGGACTAGAGATACATAAAATATAATTTTAGATAATCCAATATGAAATTCAATTATTTGGCAAATCATGTGAAATAAGAAAAATTGTCATCAAGTCCACCCTAATATTATATTATTATCTGGTATAAGCGATTCGATGAGAAACATGCAAATCATTTAATTGTGTTTACTTGACAGAGACCTGAGCACCAATCGGATAATGTCGTTGCACAAAGACACGTTCAAGGACTTGACCAACTTGACCGAACTGTGAGTGGACATATTTTTTTTTCTATTTCTCCAGTTAAGTTGGCTGCACTGACAATTTACCGTTATTTTCAGGGACCTGACGGACAACGACATCGACTATTTGCCCACCGCCATATTCACCGCGCTGGAAAACTTGACTAAACTGTAAAATATAATAACATATTATAGAGAGTAGTACAATAAATATTTTTTGACTAAAGCCGTTTTCCGTTTTGCAGGAAATTTCACAGAAACCATTTGGTCGAGGTACCGTTGTTGTTTCAGAGGAACGCAAAATTGCAAATACTGTAAGTGTAATATAGTTTAGTTTTCCAGGAAAATATTGTTTTTGATCAAACGATACACGTTCAAAGCCCATATTATATACCCACGTGTACTACTCCGGGCTGGTTTTCAGTATAAACATGGTATTTATTCGCCTAGTAATTATTATCAAACGGTACACCACGGTTTAGTGCGCCTGATAAGGTGACGGCAACTCACTGAAGAAAGATATACCTTCTAATGTCTACGCCATTAGTGGCCTTCGAAACGATAAAAAGATAATAATATTTTCAATTATTATTTTATATCCCCAACAACATAATAATATGTAACAACACATGTTTTGACTCATTCACTTCGTTCGACCGAGTGTACGAAACACCCTCGATGATTACACAACACAATACAATCACTTTATATAAAAGTAAAAAACCGAACGCGTTTTTTATCGATGAACCGGCTCTACATATTTTGTTTGTCGCATAATAATGATAATTATTATTATTCACCAGTCATGTTATAAAATATATGATTCCATCGGCAGCAGCTGTCGACGGTTTTTGGGTTTACTGAGACGGTTCTTTGAATATTGGCAAGCTGAATATTGACCACCGGCCTTGAGTGTAAAAAAAAAATCTAGAAAATAATAGAACATGCGTACTAGTTATACACTAACTGTGCAAATATGTGGCTAAATTTGTTTTTTTTCCCTCGGTTGGTTACAACATTTTTTGCAAGGATATTATCAAGATGAAGATTTGGTTTTTTTATTTTTGAAAATGCGCGCCCATCACTCACGTAGAGGTACTTGTCTTTGCGCGAAAGTCCTAATTGTAATATTATGCATAATGTTATTATATTTTATATTATGTATGTACATATATCATAACTAGGGCAGAGTACTTGTAGCTCTAAAAAAACATTAAATATGCAAACACTTATGCACTTGAAAACCCTAAAATATGCACTAAATTTATATGCTTTAAAATTTTTTTTTTAGCGATTTAATTAAACAAATGAATTAATTTAATTAAAACATTTAAAATAAGAAAAACAATGACTGACTAAATTAAACTATATTTATATGCTACACTACGAGTCCACGACCAATAAATGAATAAAAACTTTGGCTTAATGAAACTATTACTATATTTTATTGACTTAATTATACTGTAAATAATGTATAATTTATTAAAGATAGGTGGTGTATTGAATAATTGATTTTTTATTTTAATAATTTGATATTCATTCTTTTGACCCTAAAAAAAAAATTCCAATATTTTAGAAATTTTTTTACTGATTATCGTTTTGACTTTTGATAAATTATTTTTTTAAAGCAAATATTAAAAAAAAATTCCCTTAAAAAGCATATATAACTTAAAAATGTCTCAGCAAAAGCAAAAAAGACCCGAATATGCAACAACATAGAAATTACAGACTTGGCTTTGTCATAACCTAAAAGAAATTTCTTTATGGTTGGCCTTTTTATACGGCTGCGCAAAACAAATATGCAAATGCTGGAAGTCCTCTGCCCTAATCATAACAATAATAACAGCAATGTTCACACACATATCGATTGCGTCAGCGACAGGTGACATCTTATAAAAAAAAAAATTTAACATATTGTGATATGTATCATATACCGATGACTTATTTATGTCCGGTTATTATTATTATTATCATTATTAATTATCGTACCGGCAGGTCATTATACTTCCTACTTGAAACATGCGTCTGGGTCTAGCCGTCCGCTTACAAATGATATAATATTATAACGGCCATTGCAATTATATTTAATCAGTATTCGGAACTACCACTCTCTAGCTTTCTACCGGGCTTTCCGTTTGTGGTGTGTACCTGTATTAAAATTACATATCTTCTCTCTAAACATAATAATAATAATAATAATAGTACTACACAGTATTATGCTCCTTAATGTTTAGTGCCCGTTAACCGTTTTGAGCACGCCATTTGTATGTATGATTAATGACGAACGCAATAATATAATATTATTATTATTATACCGGAGCGTTTCTAAATCATCTGTAACAAGAACATAACATATTATACCTACTACTAATGTTTTCACGTACTTACTCTTGCGCAGTTTTCCACTTGATCTTCTTATCTTTTTCGACGACCAACCCGTAGTCCTTAACGCCTACGCTAGGACGTAGTATCCGATTGCGTTATAAATTGCAGATGGACTCGGATAATAAACGAAAAGAGCACACTTATGTTGACTAATATGACATAAACGGAGAGTAAAAAACAAAACTAAAAAAAAAAAAAATGTGTACAGTGTTTTTTTTTAATTGGAACGCACGCGCGCGGAGAAAGGTCGGTTTTGATATTTTACAAACCAGTTCAATGTTTTTGTTGTCCATTTATATAACCGATCCATTTCTTTGCATAAGTACATATTATTATTATTATTATTATAGTGTACAAATTACAAACTACGACGGTTGTCCGGCTATGAATTCCTAACACAAACAAAATAAAAAACCAAATATTTTATTGAAGTTGAAATAACGAACAAATATGCAATTCCGTCTGATCGACGGTTTCTATTTTAATGTTTTCTTTAATTATTACTATTACCTGACCTCCCTCCGATAATCTCCCTGAAAATCCACCCCTCGTTTAAAAAGGACACGGTGAAGAGACCTGTTAACCTAATTAACTCCACGCGTCTTGCACTGCTATAATAATCCTTCCATAAAATATATTGGTAGATACAATAATTATAATACATAGGTATAGGATATTTTCATTTTAACTCTTTCCCCAAATAAATGGAATGTACGGCTAATATAAATAGGGGGCAGTCGTTGTGTGTAGAAAACGGAAAACCTATGTTTAATAGCAGTCAACGGTGGTAATCCGGTACACAGGACTGGATCGATGTTTGACCCTTATCCGCTCTATGGTCATTGCGCCGTACAGGTTAAAGCACAGCCCTTTGGTATCTTTTACCCGAAGCGAGGAAATAATATTAGTTCAATTATTTTGGGTCTCTCAACTGTAATTTCGCAGTCAATCTCGCATAAGCTTGGCAATTCAAAGTACATATAATATGATTGCCAATCCTTTTCATCATAATAGAACACCAGTACAAATTTAAAATATTGCATTCCTTTAAGTATATTACCTTCTGTTAATTTTGCAATACCAATCCAATGCCGTCGATTGTGAAAAAATATACAAAATAATAATGTGTGTGCTCTCGCGTTAGAGACTTGTCGATGAACCACATAAAACAGTTACCGGAAGAGTTGTTCCGGTCGACTAGAAACTTGTTGCTGTTGCACGTCTACGGCAACGGGATAGAAGTTCTTCCCAAGTCCATTTTCAAGGATCTCGGTCGCCTGGAGGATCTAGATTTATCGGCAAACACGTTGACCGAGTTGTCGTCCGACGTGTTCCAAGGCGTGGTGTCTCTGAAAAGACTCAAGCTGCAAGAAAACCAACTGCAGCAGCTTCCTTTGGGTATGCATAGTAGTACAAACGTGGGGTTCGGTTGTATACGTTTGCTGATGTTTTTTTGACATGATAATACATATATTTCCAACAGGTGTATTCAACGATATGGAATACTTGGAGATCTTATCGTTGAGAAACAATCACATATCGTTCATTCGTCCCGGACTGTTCAACAACATGCGGCGCTTGGTGCAATTGGATTTGACCGAAAACTGGATAACACTGGTAGGTACAAACAGCTATTACACAATCCGAATGAGAATACAATATAATAATCGTGGGTGCGCGTGAAAAAGGGGTTAAGTCAACGTTTTGTGCAAAATGAGTTATATACACCGAAAAATTCAGAAAGAAAAAAAACTCTATGATTTGTGCTTTATAGTTTAAGTCTAATTGTTGTAATATTCAATGAATAATAAAAGAAGTGTTTGTTGAGTTGAGTCACTATTTTTCTCATTTTAGTGTACTTTGTGATAAGTCGACTGAAATCTTTTTGTATTTACAATTTAATAGTGTAACAAGAGTTATGTCCTTTGTTATACTGACTTAAATCTTTTTGAACCACCTGTTTAGTGATAATAGGGTTATGTCGATTTTCCCACCATACTAAATTATGATATCAAGAGTGTTGCAATCACAACACATTAATCAATATCATTAAAATACGTATCCAGTTACGGATGAAGATGATGTCGAAATGGATGAACAATATCTAGTTCAAGAAATACTAATTCAAGAAAATGTTGAGCCAAATCTACAGTCTCTAGTAAAATATCTAGAAAAGCTAAAAAACGACAAAAATAAACAAATAAAACGTGCCTAAAATAAAAAGTTTTTATGTTGTTACAATAATTACTAGTGTTAAAATGTATTAGGATGTCATATTAAAAAAATAAAATAATATTATTATTATTAAAATGACTTAACCCTTTTATTAAAAAAAAAAATGAGTAAATTCAACTCAATAAGATTTAAGTCAATTTTTTTTTGTTATACAAATTTATAAATTCTAATTTATACAGGAAAGTACAAAACAAGTGGTTTTATTATCCTATTCAAAAAATATTTATTCTATTCTAATGCCTGATCTTACATATTCTTCTAAACCTTATTTTCCATTTCCTGAAAAGTCCTGACTTAACCCTTTTTTCACGTGCACCCACGATATAATGATTAAAGTGGAATACTATTAAAAAAAAAAAACAATCTGCTGCTTCACACACTTCTTTTTTTTTTGCCACAGCTAAACGGCAACGAATTCTCCGACCTGGTGGCCTTGAACGAGCTGCACTTGGGCCAAAACTATTTGGACTTTATACCGAAAAAGACGTTTAAAAATTTGGCTGCCCTCGAAAAACTTTACCTGTTCTCCAACAACATTCAGCACTTGGACGCCGACAGTTTTTACGGGTTGAACAATTTATCGTCGTTGTTTCTCAACAATAACTTGCTCAAAGTTCTGGAAGACAAGCTGTTCGAGCCACTTCGCAATCTGAGAAAATTGTAATCATTTTTTTTTTAATATATAATGCTTGTTGAATTGTTTCAAACATAACTACGTTGGAGTTTACGATTGGAGAAAACAATATATATTTTTATTCGAACAACTAGGTTGCCAACTTATGAGCGACACGTTAAATCCACTAGGCGAAATGTTCAATTGATTTCCCCTATTGTTGTTATTTAACAATTGTCAATTAACAAAATAGAATTGCCAAAACCAACGTTTTTTAACGTTTGACTTCATTAAACTTTGGTCACACACTGTCGTTCAAGTAGAATGTGTTAGATGTGATTTTTTTTTTATGGCTTTAATGTTACACTGATTTAATGAGTATTAATAATTTTTTATTCCAGACACATAGACAGCAACAAGTTCCAGTTTCTACCCAACGACTGTTTTAATCACCTCCCCAAATTGATATCACTGAAACTGTCCAAGAACCCGTGGCACTGTGATTGCGCCATTCTATATTTGGCCAGGTCGGTACATATGTATGGTTAATATGCATTTTTTATGTACCTCTATATATGTACGGCATAGACACTAGTTTTTTATGAACGTTTTTTCTCGGTTGCGTTTTACTATCGGTAAAATAAAAACGAGCAGCTCAATGTACGACTTACAGCTGAGACAGATTCACACGTTGTAAAAGAGTCTTTAACAAAGGCATAGCGTTACTTCTAAGTTCCACAAAACACTATATTATTATATGTTTTATGTACCTACCGTGCGGATGTGTTCACACATTACATTATACATGACATTTGGTCCGGCCATAGGTGTATAGTACCTACAATTAATATCAATAACTGTTTACAAGTTAAGTTGATAGCACAGAATCACAGATATATATATATCTAATATATTATTTTACACACACATAAATCGGTCTTGTCGGTTTTGAATAGGTCTTCGTCAAAAGATAGTAGTTTAGCGCTGGAACCAAAAAGGATTGCACACAATAATTATAATAATGATAATAGTATACATAATATATATATTACACAGTATACACCGCCGTTGCTGAACTCAATATAACCTGAGAGGCAGCCATTTTGTGTCTTTATTTCATGGAAAGTAAAAATGCTTCATTACTTTTCCATGATACATATTAAAATGTTAGGTTAGGTAATGATAACGCCTTCATATTATGTTTGGTAAATCCACAGAGACATACATTCGGAAACAAGATTGCCAAGTGTACACGCTGTCAATAGAGTTAATTGAAGATACCCCGATTTCCGCCATCTTTGTGGCAATTAGAACCTTATCACGTGTTTATAAAAATAACCATTTAAGTTTATACATAAATCCCACAGAAAATGGCCGTCGTCGACTTCAATATTCTTCTTCACTAGTTAACGGTCTAGTTCATATCCTTCTAACAACCCGCTTTAGACTCTAAGCAAGCATGTTAGTTACCAATTATAGGCACAGTCTCGAAGTGAGATCTATAATTTTCACCAAAATCTCGAGGGAGGGTTATAGAGTTATACAGGGTGATTCATTAAGGATAAGACACTCATTTTCTCGGACTATATTAATATTTTGAACAATATTTTTTTCCAAGATTTTTGGAAAATTAGTGTCTTATCCTTTATGAATCACCCTGTAGACTCTTTAGGTCTAAAGATACATCTAGCATAGAGTGGGGCTGCTATTAATAGGTGATGTAATATGGTTTTTTGTCATTTTTTTTTTCTTCTACATTTCTCTCCCACACAGATGGTTGCGGGCCAACAGGCAGAAGGTCTGGGACTCGAACCCCACGTGCAGGGGACCCAGAGACTTGGGCGGCAAACCGGTGGAGGACATGACGTTCGAGGACCTTTGCGACGGTCAATGGGCCAGCATGGTGAAGTTAACGCCCCGGGTGCCCATAAGATGATGATCGATCGATCGAGATGCACACATGTTAAGCTAATATACGATCGATCATATGCCGTTTCTCGATCATCGACTGCGTGTGTGTGTGTGTGTGTGTGTGCGTCGAGAAAAACGTCGATTGATACTCGTTTTTAATGGCTTTTTTATTGTCCGCACTTAAATATTTATAATAATTATAATATACATATAAACGTTATACGTACACAATAATATTGAGTTTTTTTTTTTTTTTTTTTAATTGATTGTATACGGTTTAATTGCGCGCAGATAAGAAGGCGGCCGTGTTATCTTGAGCCCCCCGGCTATATGCCATATGCGGTAATTTTTCAACATTTATTATTTTGTTTTTTTAGTGCCACTCAAGAGCCGTAATATAATAATACATGTACACGATATGCACTCTGTGTAACCATAAGACACAGATAAGAACAGAGTAAACAATTTTTCGATCTTCGTCAGGCGTTTTTCATTTTTTTTTTTTTTTTGTATTTCTCCTGCAGTCAGCAATAAGCGTTCCGTGCGATTAGTACGAATCACACAACAGCTATGGTCGGCGTGAGTCCGTTTTATCTGTTGTGTACAACACTGTTTTTGTGTTTTTCCGGTAAATACAACAGTTATATTGTTACTATTTGTTTTTTAAAACGGTCATTTTAAAATATATTACGGCCACGTTTAAATTAAAAAAAAAAAAAAAAAAACTATTTCCGACGCGTTAATGTACTGTTTTTTTTTTTTTTTTTACCAAATAATTAATAACATACACCTCAATACAGTGTGCACTAGTTACCTATAATTATTGCGAATTGATTTGATTTTAGATTGTTTTGTGTTATGTCTCGAACGCGACCAACGAAACCCGGTAAACTCGCCAGTAAGTAAAGACCTCTTGCCATGTTGTGGATATCATTGACACAGTGGATATAGTTTTAGCATTGCAAATAGTGTTTACTCGGCTTAAACGTGCCGGTACACGTGTTGTGTACTAACAAAACATGATTGGCAAAAACGGTTAATTTCTTTGGAAAAAAAAAAATATATTTAAATACATTTTAATATTGTAATATAGCTTTCATAAAAACCCAATACCGATAAAAAAATCAATCGACGTTTTCGTTAAATTCCAATGGGATGACTAATTTTTGTTTATCTTCTTATTGCTTTGGTATGGTTATGTTGTAAACACTATACTGTATAATAGCTATTGGAAATATTTCTAAATACCCGCGATTATGATTGTTACAATTATTATTATTATTATTATTATTATTATTGACCAAACGCGGTTCAGAAAGTGTCGAATAGACAATAGACAGAGTACAGTTTAATAATCGGTTGCGTTAATGTGTTTGGTCTGTTTTGCGGTTCAATCTCGCTGATACACTTCACCTTTGATCTTTTATTGTAATTTCATACGATTTAACAGTGTTAATACGAGTTCAAATTAAAAAATATATATATATATTAGTCTTCGTGTGCTTGAATCATAATTAAAAAAATGGGCGTACAGCTAAATTCTATACAAAATGTCTGGTAAAATAATTTCGGTTCTGTCTGTTTATTTATTTCAAAAGTTAACAGCTGTTATATTATCGTTATGTAGTTTTAGTATTAAAAAAAAAAAACCTGATGATTTGGCACGAAAGATACATACAAACTATACCTATACAATATCTGTTTTTTTTTTATAATAAATTGTTAAATATCGGATTAAAAAAAAAAAATGTTAACCTAATTCGATTAAATACCCGATTAATTCAAAGCCAATAACACTCGGGTAGATTAGATAATTCCAGGCCTAGTAAATATACAGTACTTGAGAATGAGTTGTTTATTTCATTTGTCAAATCACACTCGCCCATTACTTATCTTGTACAAATATTGCACGATTGTATTCCATTTTGGCTAATTTAACCTGCCTGAATTGTTAATATTTATTATCAAAATAACACATTGAAACTATTTCCAACAGTTACCCAATGTTCGGTTGAATATTTGTTTATTATAAAATACATTTAAAATTACAACACTAGTGTGTTTCCAGTACACGGTATAATAGTTTAAGAACGAAAGCGAGCACTGTGCACACATTGATTGTATATTTTTATGTGTTGAATGACAATATATATTTTGTGATTTTGTTTGCCAGGCCAAAAACGACTCTCCCAATCAAAAGTATCCGTTTGCCAAAGGATACTATTCGTATTTCGTCCAAGTGAACTGGGTAAATCACATCAGTGGCGAAGGTTTTGGATGTATTAAGACGTGTTTTTTTTTTTTTGCTTTTATTCACAGCTAACCAACGGATATGTATTTGATCCAGAGATAGAATACGACGTCCCGGCCGGTCACGATGTAACACTGGAACCGATAAAAGACTTTTGCCAGCCCAACGAAAACCCCACCGTGTGTGAAGATTTCTCAACACAGCAAACCAAAACGGGAGTGCAAATTATCATCACCGACGACTTGAGAACTAAAATTTTTAACGATTCCGTCGCTATATTCAGGTTGAAGGTAAATTATTAGGAATTAGAATCGCCTACCAACTGTGCCAACATAGTGTTTTTTATGACATCTTCCCATCGCATACTTGATCTTCCCAAAGGTCTTTTCCATCCCTACATGATGTTCTATCAGTAGCTGCGGATTTCGGTTTCTCCAAGCGTGGCCAGCCCATCGCAGTCATAATATAATCAATTTCCAGCTTTATTATACTTTCTTGGTCTCCACCCTCCGTTTACACTACTATCCTTGACTGGTCCATAAGTGGTGCGCAACGTTTTTCTTTGAAAACAAATGACCTTGTCTTCGTTATTTCTTCTGAGTGGCCAAGTTTCGGGTCCATACAATAATAACTGGACTGATTTAATTTGCAATTTTCGCCAGCATGTTCTAACTTGATTAACAATAGAAAACGAATGTCGGTTCTAATAATCCAAAACAATTATGTTTGCTCGTTATATAGGCGGTAGACTCAACGGACCAAGCAACGGTCGGAGGCGAGACGACGGTTCTCATTAAAATCGAACAATCTTTCCACGTGACAGGTGACTTGACTGATTATAAAAATCTTAACTATACAATAATAATTGTCGAACCCTTTAAAATCGTTTGCGTTTATACACATATGCGCAGACACTATACTGAAATTCGACCGTCCGTCGTACACGTTAAACATAGCGTACGGCCGTCTGGGTGACATATTCAAATTCCAAGCCAAGATGGTAGCACTTCAAGCCGAGGACAACAATACTATGGCGAACAGTCAACAGTCCAACGACGACGTGCAGTTGAAAGAAAAGCAGTACGAATTCAACGGCAATTACGCGTTAGAATACTTACCAGGTACATGGTTGTGGTATTTATGCTTGAACGGCAGTACGACCTAGTTGGATTGACACACATACCTTTTGTGTTTTTGACATTTTACATTGTTACTTCGGCACACAACTGGAAAAATCGACTGTGTTACCAACAAAGCTAACGAAAATGTATCCTTATATATATCTTTATATCCTCTATACATCCTTCTATATCCTTAATATATAATAATTAAACAAGTTGTTGCAAATTTAGAGAAGTTTTGTTGGATATGAAAACGATTAGGGTTGGACACGAAAGTTGGAGTTGGAGCTTGAGATGGAACTAAAGCTAGAATTGAAGCTGGAACTTCGGAGGTGGAGATGGAGATTAAGATAACAGCTTGCGTACGAGTCCGCAACCCAGGGAGAGATTTTATGTTTTTTTAATTATACAGGATGTTCCAGCATGAAAGGTAAGTAATAGGTGATTGGACATCTGGGGGACCCCCAAATAAGCCCCCCGTTTTCATTTTTTCGATAAGTCGAAAATTGAAGATTTCGACAGTTAAGTTAAAAAATAATAACTTAGAAAAAAATATATATTCCCTGTTATTCAGTGTAAAAAGCTCACCTTAACAGAGAGGTCACATCATTTTCAGTCTCTTTCGGCCCCTAACTCAAAAAATTAGAGACCAGAAATAAATGATAAGTGATAGAAGATAAATGCTAAGACATAATTGATAAGAGATTAAAAAAAAAAGATAATTGATAAGAGATAAATTATGAGAGATTAGAGATAAATAATTAGAAACACGAGATAAGAAATAAATAGTAAGATATTAGTGATAAGAGATAAATGATTAGAGACTAGAGGTAAGAAATAAATGATAAGACAAGTGATAAGAGAAGAGTTAGGGGTTGAAAAAGACTGAAAATGATGTGACCCGTCTTTTAAGGTTAGCTTTTTGCACTGAATAACATGGAATATTTTTTTAGGTCATTATTTTTTACTTAAGTGTCGAAGCCTTCAGTTTTTGACTTATCGAAAAAATAAAAACGGGGGGCTTATTTGGGGGTGTCCTAGATGTCCAATCACCTATTACTTACCTTCCATGCTGGAACACCCTGTATATAAGGATTTAAGGATATATATGGATAAAAGGATATATAAGGATATAAGGATATATATATATAAGAATACGTTTTCGTTAGGTTTTTTGGTAACGCTGTCGACTTTTCTAGTTGTGTGCCAAAGTAAAGGCATGAAATGCTAAAAACTATAAAATGTCTCCCTGGGTTGCGGACTCGTACGCAAGCTGTTATCTCAAGCTCCATCTCCAACTCTATCTTAATCTCCATTAACTCCATCTCCACCTCCGAAGTTCCAGCTTCAACTCCAGCTTCGGCTCCATCTCAAGCTCCTACTCAAACTTTGTTGTAGTTGTCAAGTTTGTTTGCAGTTGGTTGTTTATAAGCTTTTAAACGCCAGTAGTTAAAAACCGTGTGTCGTTTATATGGGAAATGAAGAATACCTTTGCGTCTAGCGCCAAAAAAAAAATTCTTAAAATATTTCTTTTCTTAGCCGGCGTTTCGGTGAAATTGAAGATCGACAAGATCGACGGTACGTTAACGGCGATGGGAGAAATCAACGAAGGGTACTACGCGTTTGACGTGGTCGCCTCGGACTACGGTCCCAATTCTACGACCACTTTGGTCGGCAGATCTACCGTGAGTTATGATCTATATTTTGTAATATACTTGGGCGGGATCCCAGCTGCGACTTGGCTAACCTAACCTGGGCCCTGCAGGTGTATCTGTTCGTGGACCGCGTGGCCGTGTGCTCTTCGGAAAATGCGACGTTCATCAAGGCGTTCACCAAAGATTACATGCAAGAAGAAATCAAACTGGCCACAGTCATACCGGCCACTGATGCCTCGAGCAATTGCACTTATCGCATATCCAAGCAGTTCCCGTCGGGAGGTTGGTAGTAAAACAATTTCAAATTAAAAATCAACTTACAAACCTTTTTTTCAACAAAAAAAAAAAAATGGTTAATTTTAATTAAGCGCGTTCGAGGAGTAACTTGTTATCAGAACAGCAAGAAGACAATAATTGTCTTCAAAGTACTCAATGAGAGTGTTTAAAAGCACGCATAACTCGACAATAGCAAACGAAAAATTCGATTAAAATGAATAAAACAAAAACTCACAACTTAAATCAGGCTTACAACATTATATGAGTTGTATAAGACTCGGTTAGTTATTTGGATCGTCGCAATGTGAATGTGTATAATAATAATGTGATGTTTAATATTATGTATTAAATCGATACTGCGGCGGAATTGTATAACCATCAACTGTTTTTGTAAATATTTAGCGTTGGATATCGTCCAACAAACTGTTGGATTATAAATAATAGACAGGTATATATATATATATATATATATATATACCTGTGATCTAGTAATATTATTATTCTTAAGGAGTCTCCGGGCCGAACGCCCATTAGAGCCAGAACGGGCACCGTTAATTTATAATACTCAACGACGGTGTATGTGATTTATATTAAATTATATTTTATATATTGTGATGTTTAATAAAATGTCGAGCCATTCGATACTCGTTACCAAAGCTTCCCGTCCAAGTGTATTCGTACTTAGAAAGTTGTTAGCGCTATTTACATAACGCAGCCCGGCGTCAGTAGTAGTAAGTTTGGTATCCCAGAAACCGTTTTTATTAAATTTGAACCCCGCCCTCCATTTGTTGTTATATTGTGCCCGGGATCAAAATATCGTTTACGCAACGGCATACATACGTACATATTATAACACACATATGTTGGCTTTCGATACTTCCAAACGATTACCACCGGACTGCACTACAATCTTAATCTGTTTGTTGCAAAGACCACATAATGACCGCGTACAAAACTCCAAACGGAGGCCATAGGCACGACTAGAGGGATGCTAGGCGATGCTTTAGCACCCCCAAAAATTCCAACCCCAATCCTCGAATGTACAGGGTGATTCATTAAGGACAAGACACTAAATTTTTCGGAATATATTAATATTTTGAAAAATATTTTTTTTCCAAGATTTTTTGGTACACATTGTACTATATTTTTCAATAATTTGAAAATTTTTATCACCAATCCTTGAAGGCCAAAAAGGGGGATTTTAGTTTTTTTTAAACGGCAACATATGTTTTTAATTACATAAATTTGTAGACAAAAAATAAAAAAATATTTCAGCGTTTGAATTTTGAATTTTCATTTATTTGTTCATTAGCTATGACTTTGTTAAGATACTACATTTTCTCTTAATAATTATCATGTTTCTTCGGTTTTCCAAAACCGGTAGCACATCAAGTTCATATTTATGTTCGCGTTGTCCATTTGGCGATAACACTCTTACAAAAAAAAGTCACTGGTATAAAAGACTTTGAAATAATGCTAGACAAACGGTTCTTATCTACAGATTACCTATTCCAACACACTATACAGGTTGGTTTTACAAACCCACTTTATCGAATTATTTTTATGCGTGTAATAAAACTACTCGTCTTTGTAGTAACGATTGAAAATATTAAGAAATACAGTCAAAAAATCAAATCTTTATAAAGTCATAACAAATGAGCAAATAAATGAAAATTCAAAATTCAAACGCTAAATTTTTTGTCTACAAATGTATGTAGTTAAAAACATATGTTGCCATTTAAAAAATAAATTAAAATCCCTCTTTTTGGCCTTTAGGATTGATGATAAAAATTTTCAAAATATTGAAAAATATAGTGCAATAAATACCAACAAATCTTGGAAAAAAATATTAATATATTCCGAGAAAATTAGTGTCTTATCCTTAATGAATCACCCTGTACACATAACTCTGTTGTATATTGCTTTGTATCTAATTGTCTGAAGAAAATAATTATATGTTTAGTCGGATGGCTACGGGTTTGTGACGGGTGTGTGCGGGTTTTGGAGATACCTAAATCGAATGGGCCGACGGTCAAAAACCGGTAGCTCGTGCATGCATATTAAATAGTATACATTAAACGTACTGTATATACCTATACAAACACACACACACACACGGTATATATGGTATAAACGTGTATTGACCGCATTGGCAATGTAGTTACGGTTTTCAACACAGTTGATGTTAATTATCAGAGAAATACATTTAGATCACACACGGCTCACCGGCCCTAAGCAAACTCAATCGAATCTAGACCGGTTCGGAAATTAACATAATATTAATCTATAATATCGAAAACAACAATAATTACCTATTTCGTCGGTTTTTTGGCGTACGATGACTTAATTTCTATACTGGCAATATTGAGTTTTATCCGTTAGGTAGAGTTAAGACGTCAACCTTTGATGGCCAAATTACCACCTGCGATAACCCTAAGCTAATTTGTTGTTCTGATCCAAACGCTTTTCGAGACTCATCGACAGTTCTTCGGCAATTTATTCGTGTCTGAAAATACTATTAAAATGCAAATGAGTGAAGCCACGCCGCAGTAAATCATAAAGCATGTCTGTATAGTATAGTATCTATATGTATAGTATTATAACATTATCAGCCGGTTTCATCAACTATTGTTAAATACACTCTTAACACACCGCTAGTTAACAATTCATTTAAATTTAACACATCCGGTTAAACGAAATAAGTTTCACCGTAACATTATTATTGTTAAATTCTATTTGTTGAGTTACCGAAATGATAGTTGGGTTACCAAAGCGGTTACCTCGATTCCAACGTTCTCATTGGTTATTAACTGATAAGTGATTGTAGAATTTAATTTGTCGGTTTGTTATTATTTGGCATTTTATTTTACTTTCTTTTAACGTTTCGGTTCGTATAAATAATTTATACCTTTCTAAAAATTGTTGGTCATCAAGGTCATTAAAATCATTTTTTTCTATTTTGGAGGCCTAAAAAAAAGTAGGTAGTGATAAGAAATATTTCCATTGTTATACTCAGGACATGCAAGACATAATAATATTATCTAAATTACAATGTTACTACCTACATAAAATAACTTCTGCTTGCCTAATAAAGGGTTATCGAAGTTGTCTTTTCTATTGTTCTCTAAATACTTGATATAAATAAATTCCTCATCTAATCTCATTATTATATATTATTAGTATACTCAGTCAACAAAAATGATAATATAATTTCTGAACTATAATAGTATAAATATTAGATATATATATATAAGTGCTACAATACATTTTAACAGGCCGATTAATTTTTAACAAGCCGATTTCGGGTGATTAATTTAACAATCGTTTTAACTACGTGTTAAGGCTAACAAATTCGATGAAACCCGATTTTCACTAACTAGTTGTTAAATACAGTTAACAATAAGTTAAATTCTTAACAAATGTCGGTGAAACCAGCGACCCTTCTGCTTCCCGGTTTATCTATTCTGTGTTCACACCCGTGAACTTTTCAATTACCTAATATTATGTGTATTTTTTGTATTAATGTCACGGTCTTTCCTCGACTATAAACTCAATTGTTGAGGTGCAAAAATTCACTACAGACTACAAGGCTTTTTGACGTTGTTTTACAGATTTCTTTCAAATCGACCCCTCGACGGGTGCGGTGAACGTGGTCAACCCGGTGGACCGCGAATCGTCCGTGTTCGAAGGCATGGACGAGCCGTCGGTGTTCCTGGAGTTGCGGGCAGACTGTGGGAAAACCACCGGGGAACCGCCAAAAGAGATCCTCCCGTTTCAAATGCCCCTGGATCACATCTTGTACGACCCAAGAGCCACGGTGGTGCAGCTGGTAATCGACGACGTCAACGACAACCCGCCGGTGTTTCCCGAAAAACAGATAACGGTCGGTTATCCCGTGGCCACGGTGGCCTCGGCCGTCACGCCCAAGTACCTCGTGCAGGTCAAGGTGAGTGCTTGCAGTAATCATACAGACTATAATATGAAAACAGACAGGTAAATACTGTTTTATCACTCACCAAGGGGGGGGGGGGGTTAAGCGAGGTTCGAGAATTTACTTAGCTGTATTTTTAAATCCAAAATCCAACAATAAAAAAATAGCTTGAAACCTAAACATTCGAATAAATATTAAATAACCATATTCTTCAATGACGATATTTTATAATAATTATTGATATATATATACTTGCCTTAAAAAAAAATAGCTTAGTCCCAAGGGGGGGGCTACTGCCCCCTTAGCCACCCCCTTAAACCCGCCACTGGTGTAGCCGCATATTAATTATTGTGTGGATATTTATCGATCATAAGATTTAAACTCTATAACTGAACTACAACTGGGGACTTGGCATGGGTCGCCAGTAAAACTCCCTGACGGTCGGTGTCCAACGTGGTGATGTCATAAAAATAAAAACATTATTTGCTAGACACGACCGTTGTATCACTGAAATTAAAGTCGATATGACAAAATTGCAAAACTCTCGTTGCACCATTAAGTTGTCGAACAGAAATTTAAGTCAACTTATCAGAAAATACACAATGGTATTGCACAAGAAGCTCGGTGTGTGTCTCGTTGCGGTGTAATTCGCATGATAATAATAATACAGATCCGTGTGCCGTTGCCCAAGTACATATTATGCGCTTTTTTTCGACGATAGTTCTCTTTGTAGGCCACAACAGAGATATTCATCAACGTGCACGTCAAATCGACAGAGTCCGGACATCGGAAACACAATATTATTCCCGTTTATATTATAATAGACAAGGACTACAGGACTAATTCAATCATATATATATATACATATTTTTTATTTTAATCGTGCAACAGCGTTCAAGGTGAAAATAATACCTCAACGCAGACAACTGTATTACAGGGCCGGACAGCGCGCGCGTGCCCACGGGGTGAATGAGAATATCAGGCCGCACGTTTTGAAAATGTATACCTACCTATCCTACATGACAAACCGTCAACCGTGGACTTAACACAGAGATCTTATAATAATATTATCTCGACTAATCTCACAGGCAACCGTCAAACCCTTGAAACCTGTTGCCCCGTTTGCACGACGACCGTCCGAAGAAGTTTAGTCTGATTGTCCAGTGATTTACCGATGGTACCGATATCTTCTTAAAAAAACACACCGCCGGCACGCAACTTGTTGCACTTAATAATATTATTTGATGACAAAAACGTGTCTCGTTATAATATTATTTAAGAAGAGCGGTTCCCCGATTGTATAACAGCTATTACGACGCAATTACTACTCTATTATAACGGATTAGCTGGAAAGACTCGGCCCAAAAATGATGAATTACTACTATCAACCCTGCTGGACTTCAAAGAACTGAAGGGGAAAATTGTCAAAATCGTGTGTTTGAATCACAAACTGCAAACGTGCACGTTTTTGTTATGAAATTATTGTTGGCTGCAAGAAAGACGAAAATTAATAATTGTCACGAGCAACGTCCGTCTCTCTGTATAATATATATATATATATATATATACACACAGGCTGTTACGATAATAATAATTGATCCGAACCGCCTTACATAAGTACAATCACCGTCTACATTCGAGTAGTTCAAATAGTACAATGTATTTGTAACGACCTTTTCAATTAACTCGAGTGCACTAATAATGTGTCGTCGTTTGCAGGCAGCGAAGATGTGATGTTTATGAATAGCAGAAACACAATAACAATACATCATCACACAAGTTATTGCGTTGCACGCATATTATAGAGTTTTTCCAATTACACTAGCTGAGCTGGAATTTCAATTAAATAAACAGCAAATTTGACAATATATTTTCACACTATGTTCGCAGAAACACGTCTTACTCATATCTTGTATCTTCTCGACAAGCTGTTTCCAATGAGCTTAGAATCAACTTATATCTCTTATATATAGTTTAGGAGGAAATTGAAAACCAAGTGTTCATAAGATGTATAAACACACAGACTTTTTCCCCATTCTCATGCCAAGACAAATATCTATCTATCTTCTCACTATTCATGTGTATCATTCACAACAACCTCTTAAACTCATTTGGTCTTTCCAAATTCAAGAAAGTAAAATAATGATTTCACGTTGGAGTGTATGTTTTATAAAAAGCAAACACAATGACACTTATATTAGAGTTATCATAGTAAACCTGTGGCCATAAAAACGTTTTTTTCCATTTTCTATTTACACTATTCAGATTACATATTATAGAACATACCAAAAGTACGAGTACCTATAATATTGGATATTGTCGCTTAATTATTGAATGTTTTATTCGAATTTCAACGTTTCACAGTAAAATGTTGTATACACGCACACATTATGAGTCACTGATTTAATATTTTTATGAATGGTGTTTTTAAAACCCAATGCCTATGTGTTGATTTAGTAAGTGTGACGGGCACACGTAGGCTCGTTACATAAGAAAAACAACTTTTCAAATAAATTAGAGCAGTAAAAATTAGATTGCTTATGTTCTTATACTGAAATTATTAAACACACAGATACGTCCACTTTTCATAATATGACTGTTTTGGAATGTGTTGAAATATTCGAAACCGCGCTCACCAAAAATGTGTTCATGATTAACATACTATTAGAATTTATTGGCTATTATATAAATAAAATAGTTCAGTGTCATTACACGAATAGTTAAATTTTAATTTATAAAGCTATACACTCTATTTTACTACCCTACACACTTCACCTTTAAAACGGTTAGGAATGTATGGTCTACGCTATATGTATGATAAGGTTATTTTCTCCATTAACTGCGCAATAATAGTTGTTTTTATTGGAAAAAAATAAACTCAACAAAACCCCATGTGTATTCATAAGCCCTCAATTGTTATCGGTAAATTCACAATTTTCGCTCGGTTTACACCTAATAGGATTATAAGTATGGAAACAATGAAAATCGAAACTTACAAACAAAGCACTTTTTCGTAACACTTATATCTTGTATCCTATTATTGTTTGTTTTTTTTTATGAAACTTAATCTCCAAGTGTAATTATTCTACCGAAAGTAAGCTAATTATTATTACACACAGCAAAATGTATGCTACACAAAAACACACCGTTTGCGTGCGATTAATCTGTACCGAAATAATACCAATACAATATATACTTATTCACTATGTATATATTTTTTTGTTTTTGTTATTATGACAATTCTATTCAAGGGTGGTAACAAATAAGCAAAAATCGGTATTCACTTTAAATTTACATCGATAGTATTTATTTTGTATTAAATTAGCAGCAATATAATAGGTATATTCTTAAGTACAATCAATTTCAATCGTTTTTCAATTAGGTTTATGTGACAACTTTTTGGAAACACCGAATTTTCTAACTAAACATAATGTGTTTGAACAGCTATCATTTCAGCTATACACATCCCTTCGGGCGACATGCCTCGCTAATACCGTTTAAATTACACATCTTTATTGTCCGCTATAGGGGTTCCAATATCGTATGTAGTTTCCTCGTCTAACTTTCTTATTGAATCCCATTGAAAAGTTTTCTAATCATTATGCCCCGATACGCGATGGTTGCTGCCATAAACGTTCCATTTTTCACCCCAGCCCTATGTACGCTTGAATCAAACGTTCCTAGCCTGACGGTGTACAAAAATATACAGTACTGGTAAACTAATTGTTTTCTTATCCTTTACTGGAGTGCACTGCGAAATATTATCTTGATATAAAATACTTTTCACGGTATAACTGAATCAATATACGTTTCAGGCCACGGACAAAGATGCTGGAAAACATGGAAAAATCAGATTTTTATTGCGCAGCAACGACTCCGAGGACTTCCTCATCAATTCAGAGACAGGGACGATATACTGCACTCGTTTGGAGGAAGACGTTGAAAGAATAAAAGTATTCGAAGTGTTGGCTAAGGATACGGACGACAACAAAGAAGGAGGAGGACTCGAATCCGTGTTGTCGGTGACCGTAAGCATTGATTAATAGTTGTATCGTTTGGCTATAGACATTTAGGGAGAGTAGGGGTAGCCGTTTAGATGAAATGGCAAATTTACCCTAAAATCTTAAAATTAGCGCTTTTCAAAATACCCATGTTTATATTTTAGTCAGAGCATTGTTGAAATAACAATAAATGTAGCGTTAATTTTAAGTTTTTAAGGGTATTTAGAATCCCAAGATGATCGTACCTGATGTCCACCAATGGTCAGGAGCGAAAACAGGTCAATGTGGTGTGGAATAATGGTTACGAAAAATAGGGTTTTACATTAATTAGAGTATTCAGATTGAAAAATGTCCCGACCTGGAAGGCAGCCATTTTGTGCACTAATTTCATGGAAAGTAAAAACCCTACGTTACTTTTCCATGGCATATATTAAAATGTTAGGTTAGGTGATGATTACACCTTCATATATTTGATAAATCATAGAAAAACAATAAATATCTCGGACAAAACAATAACTGTTCACAAAATGGCAGCCGACTATAGGCAAACCTAACCTAACCTAACCGGCAATACGCGTTCCATGTATTGAGTCCAGTGCTTAAAGGGCTAATGAAAACTAATGTACCAAGTGTACACGCCGCCAATAGAGATATAATTGAAGTTACCATTTTCGGCCATCTTTGTGGCAATTAGAACCTTAGCTGATAGCAAAGAAGCACAGCTATATATCTGTGGCTTGGAGCAAGAAGGGCCAATGTCACTTTTTGCAACTTTCGGAAAATGAGCTTTGAAGTTTTTATTTTCCATTAGGCTCTATGTTAATTTTTTTATCAAACTCTTCATGAGTAATTCATTTTTTGGCCTCAGAGTGTGATTTTTTCACAGTATATAAAGAATGATTCAATTTTGGCAATTAGCGGACTAACTCGTTTATGCACAAAATTGACATTGGTCCTTCTTGCTCCAAGCCACAGATATATATTATATATATAATATCATTTTCATACCGACTTCCATCCTTATCAGCAGTCTAGTTATTGACTGCCGGTGTTGCTCCAACTTAACATGCTTTCGTACTTAGGTGAGGCCGCTGACGTTCGAGCACATCATCAGGGTGTTCGCCAAGTTCGACGTGACCGAGGATGCGCAGTCCTTGGAGACACAGCTTTCCGACATCTCGGGATACAAGGTGATATCGTTGACGCACGACGTGATCAACGTGCCTTTCGATCAGCTGTGGCGGCTGCAAAGGGTCATGTACGTGTACGGGCTGAACAAGGACGGGTCGCCGGTGCCCGCGTCGGACTTGGAAAAGTCAGTGGAAACAATAGTAATATTTAAATACGATTTACAAATAAAATAAACGACCGCGACGTCGCCATTGCAGCTGTTTGCGGACGGTTGTTGATAAAAATTGTTGTCTCTATAAGGAATCTGAAAGGTAACGACAAGATCTGGACCGTGGAGACGCATTACGCCCAAGCCCAGCAGCCAGAATCCGAAGAGTCTTCGTCGGGCACGTCCGTCGTGTACACCCTTTTTTTCTGCACCGCCTTGTCGTTTGTCGCCTTGGGTCTACTCTACTTCGGACTCATCAAGTAAACATGCGCTCTCATATCGTCATACTTAGACCCTGTACTTACACGTTACTCGTTTCTTCTTTTTTAACTTCGCCTAACACTGCCAACTACATGGGGTCAGCCACCCTAGTCCTACACCTCCATAGAGCTTGGTCTTCTACATCTTTGGCCTTCCTCTTCCTCTTTTCCTCTCTACATTCATCTTCATAACACTGCCTATGTCTCATCTCTTCTCATAACATGACCGAACCATCTCAGCCAATTCTCTCTCATTTTCTCCACAATTGATGCGACCCCTAGACTCCCCCTCGTGTATTCATTTCTTATTTTTATCTTCCCTAGTCAATCCACTCATCCATCTTGACATTCTCATCTCCTAATCTACTAATTCCGACCCATATAACATTGCTGGCATCCTCCTGTCACACAAAACACGCGACGCTCCCCTCAACTTCGTCCGTCCGCAATTTATTCTATTTTTCACATCCTCCTCGTACCCACCAATTTTTTTGTACCACCGATCCTAAGTACTTAAACCTATCGACCTCACACGCTTCATCATCACTCATCTGCATTACCGCCTGTCTTACCCTATAACTTTCTCCAAAACCAAACGCTTGACTCGTTTGTTTTCTCTTTTATAGGAACGGCCGTTACCTGTCGTGCATCTCGAGTTCGGCCACTACACCGCTAAAAGACGACGTGGAAAACATGTAAGTACACTAGGAATTTTGCCCCCCCCCCCCACGGAGGACTCATAAAATATAATATTTTGGCAGGAGCCAGAGCAACTGGATAACGACTTTCAACAGATCCAACTTGTCTCCTCGGCCGTCATCGAGAACGCGATTATCCGGGTAACGACGATGATAATAATGATAATAATTAAGAAATTAACAATACCTTATAAATCATTATAATATTCGTTTCTGACTTCTAACGGTGAATGTGTGTGTGTGTGTGGTTTGCGTTTAGGAGTAACGTCGAATCTACATCAAGGACGAACAATGTCGATCAATCCTCGGACGCCACCTTTAATCTCGAGTAAGCACACCTGTAGAATCTCTGTCCACCTTAAGTCCGTTCAGTGTATAGTATGTAGTAATATTTGAAGGTGTTATCATCGTATAATATGATCATCAACCTAACCTACCAATTCTATGATTTATCCACAGATGTATATTATAATAAACTAGATCGCCAACTAGTGATAAAAATACACTTAAAATGGTAATTTTTATAAACAGTGATAACAGTTATAGACACGTGATAAGGTCTACTAATTGCCACTAAGATGGCGGAAAACGGTGACTCCGTTGGCGGCATGTACACGTCTTGGCAATCTCGTTTCTGAATGTACATCTGTGGATTTTCCATCCTAACCTAAAATTTTAATATGCGTCATGGAAAAGTAACGTAGCCTTTTTACTTTCCATGAAATAAGTACACAAAATGGCTGCCTCCCGGGTTAAATTGAGTTCAGCCGCGGCGGCGCATACTGTGTAATAATATTATGTATATACTATTATTATAATTATTGTGTGCAATCCCTTTTTTTAGTTCCAGCGCTAAACTATCTTTCGACGAAGACCTATTCAAACCGGACAAGACCGAAGACGACAACACCGTGTTTGCCGCCAACGAAGACAAAACATTCGTGGCCATTAACCTTTAATCTATATTATAATAACCGGGCCCCCAGACCAATTCACCGACAACATGGTATAGTTGATTTTATAATGATTACCACTTTGTGTGTATAATATATATTATGTATTTTTTTTTTTGTCGTTACGGTTACCTCGTTTGCACTATATCGGTGTAAAGATTCAATAACGTTTTTTTTTTTAGATTAAGCTAGTGCAATTTTTATTTTAAAAAAAACTGCATTAAATATAACTACAATACAAGCGTTACATATTATTTTTTTTTTTAATGTTATTACATTATACTATACAAATCTTGTTTTCTGAACAGAAGAAGGCGTGGAGGCTTTTTCGACGGTGTGTGCGATTCGCCAATTCCTAACCACCGATCACCTTGTAACACATATTTTATTATTTATTATTATAATAACGTCCAAGCGGAATTTAATTAAGATATAATATTATAGCAATGGCAATCCGATTAGTAAGGGGCGCGATTGTGCTGCGTACTTACGGTTCATTTTTTTTTTTTTTTTTAATTATACCAACCGTTTTAACACAGTTTCGAAACATCGGATTGCCAATGAAAATCCGATGTTCGTGGCTTTGTTGGGGTCAGAACGTGCATTGCCGTTTGCATTGTTCCCAGAGAAATTAATCTAAATTAAATCCCCATTATCGCACTTGGAGATCCGTGAACGCTGTCAGGCAAGCCGAAACCGCCATAATAATATAATATATATATTTATATATAATGCATCAACTCAAGCCAAGTTTTATAATGCACCTATCAGTGCAGCGATTGTGCATCGAGTGTTTTATTTTTTTTTTTTTTAGTGAAAATCGTGCCTTTAAGCACGAAAAATTGACCAACGTACAATACAACATAATATTATTATTATTTTGTATCAAATTTCCATTTAATAAGCGTTTAATACAAATTATTACACACACAAAATCGCTCACACGGTGTTTTGCAAACGATTTTTTTAATTTAATACAATCAAACAAGTCGGTTGTAAAATAAAAAAAAATCTCGCTTGTGTGTGTTTACCCGAGACCTAGATACACGGTAACCGCTAATCTGTCTCACGGTAATCTTCTGCTAGTAATTACCGGCCTTATTTTTAATGTATTATAATAATTTATACTACATTATATAACACTCACACGAATCCGCACGCCTTGTAAACGAAACGGCGCCTTTAAAAACTACGGTAACGTTCAATGGCATATTTTGTTAATAAAACAGCCATAAAAAATATATAATAAACATATAAGACCGGTATACCGACATTCGGGCACCGTCGACAATAATGAAAGTATATTGGACTATATACAATATAAGAGTAATATTGAAAGTGCTGTACTTTCATTACACACACACACACACACTTGTCCACACACGCACATGTTAATACTATTATAATTATTGCTATTATTAAATGAGCAGTCCTCTCACGTAAAGTTTCAATATATATATATATATATATATATATATAATGGCATTCCACATGTATGATATATAATATTATTTAGTTAGTCATATGGATTGTGAGCGGTCAAAACCGGTTCAAAAAAAAAAAGGTGTAATTAGTATAACTGCAGTCAATATAAACGGATTATACAATATTTTATATTTTGCTGCCAACATGAAATGCACGACCGTCTAAGGATATAGGCAGCTGCACGGCTTCGTGTACATAATATGCAATGCATTGTAATAGGATACGATACGACGACGACTGTGCTTGAAAAAAAAAAAAAACACTTTCGTTTAACGGGATTGGAATTGGATTTATTTTTTATTTTTGTGTACACCAAGTTCGATATTTTCAGGTATCAGATTATTATTATTATATTATACCGTCGATATTACATAACGCGGCCGAGAGCTACCGATATAATGTAATTTGTATACAATGTCATATATTGTATACCGAATAAAAACACACACTATAATCTATAATATAATTAACATTTTTTACTCGTTTCGTTCTGCCGTTGAAACAGAATAATGAATCGCATGTTTTAACACGCATATAATGTTATTGGGCTATTTCGTGTGGCCATTTTACAGTTACACTTCGCCGTGATAAAGAGATAAGTGATAAGAGATAAATGATAAGAGATAACACATCCACGACTCAATGTTTTTCCGTGGACCGGAGCAAATAACTAGCTATATTTATGTACAATATTTTATTATAACTAAGTATCTATGTATGTATGATCAAATAAGTCCTTTAGGGCGTACGATTTCAACTTTTTTGTTAACAATTTGTTGTTTTTTGTTAAATAATACCTTTAGAAATATTGTTTTAACGGATAAGGTCTATCACAAAGGCGTGCACCATTGTCCTGTTAATAATATTTGACAATGAACGATCCCTGACAATGTGATTGGTTAACTATGACCCGGTCAGTAGCTTTTTTTTTATACTTTAATAGTTATTAGTCGGGAAAAGTTTAATAGATTTTTAAAAAATATAACCCCATCCCTTATAATAATATGTAAAAACCTTATGGACTCGAGTTTTTTTTTTAATGGTAACTGGTAAAGGGTTTCGCTAACTTTTTCAATTAATTATAATTCGCAGTAGCATTGTCAATTCTCTAAAACCCTAACCTAACCTAACATAATATTTTGTGCGCGGAGAACAATATAATATCGTGTTGCCGGGTTGCACCGAATATTTACACAAAGACAAACTCGTTTAACTGGAGTTAAAATGAATATTCTGTTGCATAAACCATGTTTAAAATTTTATCTGTAGTCAAAAATGTACTTTATCACGAGTAAAAATTACAGGGTCGTTTATCGCTGTGTAAAAATGTATGTATAGTTAAATATTGAAATCAATATTTTGCGTTAAAGCGGTGGTGATAATGGAAATGTGCGTTATCAGTTTATCATTGATAAGACCCCGTGTGATAAAAATGTTAACTCCTACCAGCTGATACCGTTTATTCGGTAATAACCCGAGTATAAAATAACTTTTGAGCAACACTCGTACACATATAACACGATATGTTAATTTACAAATAGATAACGACAAGTTTGATGCAACCGGGCATGTGCGTGTGTGTTATCAATGCACAAATAATAGTGTAAAAAAAAAATAATTATTATCGGCTGCTGAGGTGTATTGATTTGTCATCGGTGCAGCAGACCGTGGTGTCGGGGAAGCCCGAGGCTGCTATATTATAAGATCAATGAGCATTTTTTTATTTTTTTTTCAGCGCAGCTGTGTGACTTGCATTTGCATTTGACCCGACGTTAAACGTTGTTGTTGGATAAAAAAAAACTTCAAAAAAAGCGCGCGTGCACGCGCATACATACATAAGAAAATCACTTAATACGATTACAATCACACACGGTGTGTGCGCGCATTCCGATCTCGCCTCAACAGTGTTCGGCATATTATTATTATTGTTATTATTATTATTATTATTATGATTAATGACGTTCACGTTGGAGAATACACGGAGGTGGTCAGAATATTATTATTATTATCCGCAACAATAATAATAATAATAAAAAGACATATTGATTGTTAACCGCAATCATTTCGTAATGTCCTTACAGTATAGGTACATGCAAAACGGTATTCATTAGAAATATGTCGGTATGTATAAACCAAACGAATAAATATCCATCAGCATATTGTAGTATGTAATTCCATATAATATACAAACACAATATCAAAAAATATTTTCCACCTAAAATGCCCCAAAAAAAAAAAAACCTTACTCATCACATACCGTGCGTTTGTGTGTATGGTTAAAATAATTGCTCCAGAACACAATAACAGTGGTAAACATTCGAATATTTTACTTGTAATACTTGAACCCGATTACTTCAAAAATAGTTATCCAAAACTGGGAGGTAAAAAGCAAAAAAAAATTTCAATTACTAATATTAAACTCGGTGAGATATTGAATGGTGCACGATAATGCCCATTTTCAAATATAGTGATATTGATAACAATAAAGAATAACTTAACAGATACCAGGTAGATAACAGATACCAGGTATTATATATTTCCATGTCTCTATGTGGTTACCACTCGGGTTACTATTTATATATATATATATATATATATATATTTTGTTAACATTCAAGTTTCAAAAGTTGATAAAGCTCCAGAACACAATAACAGAGGTAAAGATTCGATTAATGTAATATAACATATAAACAAAATTGTTTTCAAAAATAAAAACTACAAAATTGCAATTATTATTTCAACAGTGTAAACCAGTATAGGGCATCAAACACCCGGTAGGTTAAGTTAGGTTAGGTTATATATTATATGTATAGGGTATACATGTGTATTCTGATGGTTTTCTATGCAAATCCAAGTGTTAAAATTTTATATTATTATTATTACTATGCAACAGCGTTGTGGTAAAATAAAAAATCCACTTGTGTCGGATACGATTTTTATAAGTAGAGTGCTATTCGCTGTGTGTGTATATAGCTCACATTAGAACGCAGCCATACTGTTAAAAATAATAAATTATCGCTTAGAGTAGTAGTTGTGTAAATCGTGTAAACGTTAAATGGCTTTCAACGTTGGAATATTATATTATAATATAAAATAAAAAACCTACAGACACAAGCTGCAACAGCAGCAGCAGCATGCGATTCGAATAATAATTACAGCTGCTATTACAGTGGCAATAATACAAATATATCATTCCGGCTATATATTTTATTATAATGTGTAACTCTTATTTCATTTTTAATTAAAAATTAAGGTTAATTTGTTTTTGGCAAATTTCATAAAACAAAAAAAAAACGCACACACAGCAATACATTAGCCGGTCCAGAAAAAAGAAAACAAAAGACTATACTTGACAATCAGAATAATAATAATAATTGTAGACTAATGTGGTAAGTGAAATTGCAATTTTTTGTTATTATTATTTCAATTAAACGTCTTGTAAATTGGGGAAAGATATTTTATAAAACTAATTAACATGTCAACGCGAATTGCCCATAAACGTTATCTTGTCCGGTCAAGATGTGTACACAAGTCGACAAATAATAATAATAATTTAAGCTGTCAAAAATGCGTTGTGGGTACAAATTATTTATTAAGCGTGACCGATCGAGTAAAAGATATGAATAAGACGGTGTTTTTTTTTTTAAGATAGTTGGACAGATATTATAATGAAGTAAAAAAAAAAAAAAATACCTATCCGCATCGACACGGATCAAGTAGCTATTATAATAAATCATTATAAATCTTTCGTTTTTCTTTCAA